GCCCAACACCCTGCTCAAAGCAGGACCAATCCCCAACTAAATCATCCCAGCCAGGGCTTTGTCAAGCCGGGCCTTAAAAACCTCTAAGGAAGGAGATTCCCACCACCTCCCTAAGTAACCCATTCCAGCACTTCACCACCCTCCTAGTGAAAAAGTTTTTCTGAATATCCAATCTAAACCTCCCCCATTGCAACTTGAGACCATTACTCCTTGTTCTGTCATCTGGTGACCCGAAACACAGGACTCCTGAACGGAAGCTCCATTAATCTGCTCATTTGGAACTTTTGGGGGTTGAATTTGAATGATCATAGGTTCGTTGCTATGGGGAAAGGGAGCTGGATCGCGGAGGAGGGCGGGAAGCTGGACTGTGGTCAGGAAGGGAAGCACCACCAGACTCTTATAAGCTCAGGCTTTCCTTCTGGGAGTAAGTAGAAGGGTTACTGAAAGCTATTGTTATGTTTAATTGGGTTAAATAAAAGTTGAATAGTTTTTCACACATAAAAGTCAGAAGTGTCGTTAGTTGGTGGGTTTTGAAGAGATCTGCAAGGCCCGCAAAATAGAGTTAGGAAAAAGCAGACAGGATCTTCCGCTTATCACTGGCAAGGGTCGTGACAGGAAGCTGAGGGATGGGGGTGGGGAGAAGCCTGTACTAACAAAACAGAAACACCAGTGCTGAACAAAGTGTGCACCTAGGAAAGGGAAGGTCATGATAGCCATTTTTAATTATGAGACATTTAGAGATGGACATATGATATTTTGCTCAAAAGGGGGCAAATTTAAATTTGGGTTTTCTTTTTCCTTATGTTTTATAGAAATTCAGCTCTTCCAGTCAGGTCTTTCCAATTATCCAATAAATATTAAAAACATGTGAAATCAAATCCCTTTCAGGTTTACATTACTTTTGATATAATAAGAATCATATCTAAATTCTGGCTCCATATTAACACAACTAATAAAGCAGAGCTGATCGGTATCACTGTGCAAATATTTATTACTGTAAAATATTCAACATTTATTGGAACCATTTTTCATGTTAAGGGCCAAACTTTTCCTTTAGGGTTATGATCATGAATACGACTGTAGTCAATGAGAGTTGTGCTCATTTAGCAGAGGGAAGAATTTGACTCTGAGAGCATGTTATAATCTCTGTGAACCAGGGAAGTATTATTATCTCTTTCAATGGGACTGCTCGCATGTGTAAAGTTACCAATAGATGTAAAGACCATAGACTCAAGACCTAAAATAAGGCAAGATGCAGAAGGTTGGGGCACAGGAACACATTGTTATGTCAGACCAACCGAGCACATGGTTAATATGTTGTAATTTGGGGGTGGCAAATGAACGAGAGGTTTCTTGTCTAGAAAGTGAGACCTGATCACGTGCTAAAGGCCTTTCCTGAACAGGGATGCACTTAACCATGTACTTAAAGTTAAACATGTGCTTAAGTGCATTTCTGAATGGGGACTTGTTGTAATAATTGGGCCTACAAATGTACCTTAATTGCAAGCTCAACTGTGGGAAAGTGAATGAAAGTTTACAAAATGTTCCAATCACATATAATGATAAATGTTGACAGGGAAAGGTGCAAAAGGGAGCCAGAAAGACTGAAGTAACCGCCTCCTCCCACTCAAAAAAAAAAAAAAGTCCACTGATATAACTCAAGGATTATATTAAGATCATGGCTGGTAAGCAAGAGAAGTGTGGATCTGGAAATTAATTAACCAAAATAGCTGTGTCAGAAATTAGGCCTAGTATGTGAACAAAATAATGAGGGGATTCTGCCCATCACTCCCTTTTTAGGGGATTCTGCCCATCACTCCCTCAAAAAGAGATGTTGTGGGGGGAAATTAGGAGCATGCTGGCTAACTGAAAAATGGGAGAACACAAAAGAGTAAGCTTTACCATCACGGCTGCCATCCCCACTGTTTCCTGGGACCCTGGATCTCCTGTAATACCTTTGGGCTTTCCTTGTACTGATCCTGAGAGACGGTTCTTACCAGACTGGGCCAGAGAGAAGGACCCAGATGACATCACCACCTCCACTGACAGAGACTGAATCCCAAACCCCACCTGGGATGTGAGACTGTTCTCCACCTTGCCCCTTCTTGTGTCTTTTTCCTTCCCCACATTATGTCTTCTCTTTCCTATCCCTCTCCTTTTTTCTTATGTCTAACAAGAGTCTGACTTAGCTGGCCAAGACTATATTTTGCACACTGCTGTAAGCCTGTGACCAAACAGGCAAATAAAAGCAATGCCTTAAACAGCCTGATGCTGTACAGGTTTGCCACACCTCAGAGAGCCTAATAAGACCGTGTGCTGTGCCAGTGTTTTTCAAACAGTGATACTGCATGTGAGAGTCAACACCAGGGACAAATATTGCATTTTCTATCTTTGCTATTCTCTACTTTCCCCTTTTGTGCGTGCTTGTCTTGTTGTGTCTTCTAGGAAACAGCATCAGATTTCAACAACAATGGCACTAACAACAACTCCAGCCCATCTCAACTAATTTTTTTCCCTTTCCCCACAAAAGGACAATTATTACCATCTAAGACACTGTCAGACAAGGGGGATTTTCCTTCTAAAGACACTCTACAGCTAAAGGGAAAGAGAACAAGGGATACTGTTAAAAGGAAAACCTTACTTAATACTTTACCTTTCAAATGTTTTAAGTGTTTTTCCTTTTTCCCCCTGTATCTTTATTAAAGGGTTAAAACTATTTTAATGGCATGTTTGCCATGATACTAAGCAGACTGAGATCTCTGTATACTAAACACCAGACCTTGTTTGACACTGTTTAATGTTGGACAGCGACAGGATCATGTTAACACTTAGCTCTTAGGGCCTATTTATTCCATATAAATTAATACAACAGGTCTATAAGATTTTTTATTATTAGATTACTTCATTCATTCCTAGTTCACTGATGTCCATTGTAAATCCCCTCTTTAAAAGACAAACGTCGGGCACAGAATTGTTTCGGAGGATAGTTTTACAGAGAATTCTTTCTATTGTGCTTCATCTGGACAGCAGAACTAACCAATGTATTTAAATAGTTTCAAAGGTAAACTAATGATGACCTTAAACTTACAGGATGATCATGGTCCAAATCAGGTTCATACTTGGCGATCAGATGGTGGCACTTGTCAAGGTCTCGTATTTTCTTTGGAAACCATGGGACTGTTGTAGATAGCAAAAAATGGTACATTTAAATGATATAGGTTCAGTACGGGCTTGGGAAGAGACAGAATAAAAACAAACCACTGAGAAGACCCACCTCTGCTTTATAGGAGGAATATCTTACACCCCCACGTTACAAATGGTGAACTAAAAATGAGTTGAAAAATTACAAACAATGTCACTGTTCACAGTGACCCAAACCCTGAGGGCCCTACTTAGTTTTTCCCACTCAGGCAAGCTCCATTTATAGTCAGTTGGAAATTTGCTTTTGTAAAGGGTGATATTCTTGCATTTAATCAGGATGCTTGAAGTTCAGTGTGGCCTTAACCAACACTCTCTTTTTTGCATCTAAAATGTGATGGAACAAATAATTGCAGACATGATTATTTGCAAGTGCAGCTGAGGTTATCAAGGTCCCCAATCCTGCAAACACATATGCACATTCTTACTTTTTTAATCTGTGAGTATTCTGATTGATTTTAATGGGACAGCATGTGCTTTTCTGGTTCAGGACCAGAGAACTCAGCATGTTGCAGGATTGAGCTCTGAGTTCATGACTGCATGACAAATAATTGTCTTTACAAAAAGGAGACTGCCTTAATGATGGGTTGCATGTCAATTGCATGAGCTAAGCAACATGAAATCACAGTTTAAGACAGAAGCAAACCTCTCTCCCCTCCGTTCATTGAGAACAGTGCTATAATAATTATCTCTACTCATTTCTCTGACCATGCCACTCCAGTTTTCGCTCACCTTTCCCAGCAAATTCAAGCTTCTTATCTTTGTATTCAAGCTCTCTACATCTCTGCTCTCATCTTGTGCTGCTCCCTACTTGCTCCCTGCCCTCCATCCAAGCTTCCAGCTGAGGTGCCCCATTTGTTTCATTCTCACATTCACAGTTCCACATTCATGGGAACACCTTCCTTGTTCCTATTCACTCGGTAACCTGCCTTGTCATGTTAAAATCCCCTCCTAAAATTCATTTCTGCAAGACTTCTCACTAGCAACTCACATTTTTTAAAGTTAAACATGTGCTCAAGTGCTTTCCTAAATCAGACTTTGAATGCTGAAAATAGATTATTAAATCAATGGATTAAAAAAATCCAACCTCTGCCCCCCCCCCACCCCAAACGGATAATGTCAGTAAAGCTGAAGAAAAGCTGTGTTATCATTATCATTTCTCTCTCTGGCCCATATTTTCTCCCCCAATAACACCTCACTTTATACAACCCCCATTTTCAGAATTGTTTTCTCTGTCCCAAGTGGCATTTGATTAAAAAGGTGTTACTATGTACAGTTCACTGCATACAGTATATGCTCCCGACAATAAGGTCCCCATTCAACAAAGCCTATGTTTAAATTCCATTGTTGTCAGTGAATCTTAACTACTTGCTTAAAGATAAACATGTGTGTAAGTGCTTTTCTGAACTGGGCCTAAGGCTCTGATTCAGTAATGCACTTATGCATGTGTTTAAGTCTATGCCTATTCATACTTGAACTAAAAAATGTAGTTTGCATTAGCATAAATGAGTGTTACGCACATGCATGAAGCCCATATACCTGTATTCTCTATCATTTTCTCAGGTTTTGATCGTAAATCATTCACTCTTCACCAGCCAATGAACATAAGAATTACCACAAGGGGCTGAGCCCCTGTTCTCTGGCAAAGGCTATTTAGATCGCAGACCACTGTTAATTTCAGGCTGGCTGGTGAGAAGGCTGTTTTTCTTCTAAGAGAACAAGCAATAATACAGAAGGAATATCCTGTCCTTTAGAAATTTAAAAAGAAGAGAACACTCTGTATTCTAATAAATAATAATAATAGCCCTTCTTGTTTATAGAACATCAGCTTTCCTGAATATTTTCTATTTCATATAAAATATAATAACTACTACATGTTGACACACAGAGACAAAATGCATAGAAGTACTATGGAGAATATGACATTGATAAAATCTGTTGCATATTTTGATGTGCTATATTTTCAGAATCATCTAGAAACAGAAGATGCATGAAAAACAGGTGGACCCCAATGCCGGGATGTGTTTTAGGAAGGCTGACCTCTGTGAGGTCACTGGAGCTATGCATGAATATGGGATCTGCTCAGGAACATCACATTGCAGGATAGGGGGCCTAACGTCACATGCATAAACTGGAAACTCTGGACCTAATGAATAATTTAAATACAATTAGACACATTTGTGGGAGGAGGGGACTTAGCCATTAGGGTACAGGTTCCACACATTGCATACCTCTCTCTTCTCTGATAGTTTTCACATCTTCCGCCACTTTCTTTAAGGAGTTTATAAGGACACTGACATCAGAATTATGAACTTCACATTTGACAAAAAATTCGAGGTCATCAGTAGTGTTCTTGGATTTTTTGGCTTGCCTGGTTTCAAGGTGATGGATTCCAGCTTCAAAAGTCTGCAAAAGACAAAAGTCCACGTGGTGAGAAATCTAAAATCATTAGTGTCATTCATTGAAAGACAGCTCGCTTTAACTGCAGCTGTAATATGTCTTTTAAAAGATAGCTGGATAAAGCTTTACAAGAAATGTCAACACCAATTTTTCTTACGCCTAAAATGAACTATCCATTGCGTGTGTGTTTTACTGTGGGAGATGAGCAGTTCTTTCACTCCGGATCCTTCCTTCAGATAGTTTGCATAGAATCTGCTGAGAGAATCCACAGCATCATAACAGCCAGAGGGTCACATTGGCTGAGGGCTCTTCACCCTAGAATCGTTCTCCACCTGAAGGCACCATAATCAGAGAATGGGAGAGGGCAGGGCGGGCTGCTTACGTTGGACAAATACCCCCATACAGCAAGATGGTTCCTCTAAACAGCTGTTCCCATCCCTCTAACCCTCCATCCTCATTTCAAAGTGCCCCTGGCATCCCCCTTCACCCGGGAGAGCCCCAGCCAACCCCTTTGAGCAGAGAGGTGGTGCTAACATACAGGGGAACAGAAGAGCTGAGAGTCTAGGAAGTGGGAAGAGGCAGCTGGCCCATAAGAGGGGGACACGTGCAGAGGCTAGACGGGGTCAGGCCGAGCAGGGTCTGAGGGAAGGTACAAGCATGTGAGAAGAGAGGGGAAGGTTAGGGGACAGAGGCAGGGGGCTCCGATGGAGCACAGAAGGGGATGAGGCGAGAGGCAGGAGGATGCTGTGGAGGGCAAGGATTAGGAGAGAGGCTGGGATGGGGAGGTTTGTACCTGGAAGACTTTGACTGTCTTGGAGAGCCCGGCCTTTCTAGCATTCCGGAGGGTGAAGGTCACGATCAGGGTGGCTCTTCCTTCCTCTTCCTCCCAGACCAGGCCCTCTCCCTTGCCTAGGGATTCTGTGGCCGGAGTTTCCTTCTCCGCATCTTCTTGGAGGCTTGCTCTCCTGCCTGGGGCGCCCGCAGCATCGGTCTTCATTGAAAACCGGCTCAGGAAATCCAGATCCACCTGTGCAGAGGGAGTTTAGCTCACACCGCCTACAGGCGCCGAGTTTCAGAGAACCAGCCCTTGGCCTCGCCTTGCTCAGAGAGAGCCCCAGCGGAGATCGGTCATAGGCAGTTAATGGGGACTATACACCCGCTGCTAAGGGCTGTGGGACAAAACCCTCCCCGGCGTCCTTACAGTGCGAGACGGGTTTGGGGTGGAGGTAGGATTCCCGGTGGGTCTGACACTGGGGGAGCCCAGCAGTGAGTGAGGACCATTTATAGTGCCCGCCCCAGGGAGATCAATGGAAATGCGCTGCGGACACTGTACGCAGGAGACTAAAATAACCCCCCTTCTCATGGTAATTTCAAAGCAGGATCCTCCTGCTCTATTTGAAAGTGTCTTTATTTTCCGCAGTGTTGCATCTTTTTACCGTTTTAGAAATAAATATCTTTTGTTAAGAGGCCAATTGAAATCTGGATTCTGTTTACATCTCTGAATCCGAGCTTCCAGGCTTTGTGCGTGGAAAAAAAGTATCCCCCCCCACACACACACACACACCTCTCTCTGTCTTTCTTTGCGTTTATTGTCTAACTGGAAAAATCTTCTTTCTATAGCTGAATTCCCACTATTGGACTGGTCCGTATTCTACCTAAAGCGTTCAATTATACAGGTAATTCAGAAGGTGGAAGTAGAATTTCTCTTTTCAAGGTCTTCGATTTGGGGAACAGGTGATCACAAAGAAACCTTTACATTTTATTTCCAGGAGGAACAGTCCCCGCCAGCCGCAGGGAGGACACGGGAGGAAATTAGAATGACCTGGAAAGGGACAGCTGTTCAATCTAGTAACTCTGGATGGATTTCCAGCCCTGTTTAAACCCCGCTGCAATGTCAGCTGTGAGTGTTAAGCGTTACTTTAAATATTGCCACGTAGAGAATGTTATTAGCTATGCCTAAACCTATGTCGTGCAATATGATTATTTCCAACCGTTTAGTTTAAGAATGTTATAAATCGGTGGGGTTTTTTTTAAAGCAATGAAGTAGAAGAGATGCCAGTCAACAACAGCCTGTGATTTTTTGCAAGGTGTCCGGGATCTCGCAGTCCGCTTTAAACTTTGTTTCAGATTTACATTTTACTTTCAATAGCCTTGCCCCCCAACCTGCCACTCAGATAGGGGCTCTTTGCATACTTCGCCCTGGGGGAAAACCCCATATTGTTCCAAGGGGCTGGTTTCTATTGTAACAGTATTTTGAATTTCACTCAGATTAACGCTACCTAGCAAACGAATTCAGCTCTGGTAGATAATTCAAGCCCCATCTCTTGGGAACACATGGCTCCGGATTAATGATGGACATTTACTAGATGATCAATGACTATAAAGTGCATGCAACTCCAGAGACGCAGGACACTTGTTCCTTTTTATTGATTTCGGTGAACGATGACCGTCAACCTGTATGCGCATTCTATATACAAAACTAATGTTTCCAGAAAACTATTGTCCCGGGTGTGGCTGTGTTTATGGATCCGGAATTAAATTCTGCCAGCATTTCCACTAGTACAGTTCGTGATTTTTAAACCAATTTCAAGTCCGTGGCATTTTATGTTTTGTTTTCATTCTTCGATTTTTTGGGGTACTCTTCCTCCCATCACTCTGCAATTTGGGACATGGACAGACACCTTTGTGTTGCTGTCAGTTCATTTCCCAGCTTTTAAAGCTGTATTTCGATTGCCAGAGCTACGCCAAGCTGCTACATTTTAGCCCAGCGAAATATAACATAATCAAACGCACACATGACCAGTTTAACTCTAATTTTTTTTAGCAGTCGAGGCTAACGTCTCAGTGATACAATTTTACTGGACAAACCTTTGGGCCAAACTGTCACTGAATAACAAGAGTACATAATTAAACATTGTTGTATAGAAATTATTCCATACAGATGTACCACCAAACGCTCTACAGCTTTATAAAATCATCCTCCCTTGATTCCAGGAAGAATGCTACAACGACACATGATTTACTATAAGCCCCCCGAATTCCCCTTCTTCCCTGTGGGTCAGATGAGGGCAGGGATGGCCGCTGTCCCAGGTGCTGAAACTCTCCTGTCTTGACCAGAAGCAGCAACCCTGCTCCTGGATCCCTTGTAATGTCCAAACTCTTAACTGCCTGGATTTCTAGGGTAGTTTGTTGGCTAACTCGGTCAGTTTGGTTCTGATTTTGGCTGGTCGCTTGGGAATAAGGATCCAGAGTGAAACGCCTTCCCGCAAAAGTAATAACTAGTCATAGGCAGAAATTTAGCGCCGAAATAGTGAGGTTTTTCATCTATTTGTAATTAACACGAGTCTTCTGAGCTTCGATTGTTTCTGAGCTAGCCACGAGGGAACAGACAGTCCTATGCAGTTCCAAGTATTATCCACGGAGATCCGAGGTTGTCAGCTGATTTGCTTTCAGTGGGAGTACAGTAGGAATCCGCATTCGGCATTATTTACATCCACAGTGAAATTAAAACCAGGTATTTAACAAAGAACAAGACTCCCAGAATCCACATTTTCTGGAACTGAAATTCCTTGGTGACTTTTTGAAACCAGCAACTGAAAGTGTGATTAGCTGGTAATATAAACTAGAATGCCATCTATATAAACATGTGTCATGTCGCTCTATAATCTATAGATATACTATATAATCCTACTATATAATCTAATATATAAAAAGAAATCAGCAAAGACTCGACTTTATCACACCCAAATCTGCTGTGACACAGTGCAGAGGTTCAGATCGAGATAGGAAAGAATACAATTTTATCGACGTAAACCTAATAACAACCTTCCCAGAGTGGAAAGCCAGTAAGTCAGGCTGGGGATTGAGTCTCTCTGAAGATAACAACCTCCTTATATGCTACTTTTCAATCGGGACGGTAAAAGGTGTAAATATTAATATTTGCCATACAACCACCTGTACTCTCATTCAAGCACTTACAAAATCATTAGGTCAAAATGTCCGGCAACATCCATTTGCTTGGGATTTTTTTCCTCTTGCAAAATAAAATAAAATAAATCAAAACCATATTAAGAAATACAAAATTGCCAGCGAATGGATACTCAACCTCCAGCTTCAGACTCAGGTAATGCAGGGCTGAAACTAAACAAGGACAATCTCGTCCTTCTCGCCCAATCTTCGTGGTTATAAAGCAGCAACAGCATCAGTCAACCTAACAGGGACAAACCACTTCTCCTTTTGCTCGTCCTGGTGCCATTTTGTTGAGCTGAATGCGGAAACCCCTAGGCTGCGGTTCACCAGCTCATTCCTTTTTTGAGCTCCAGCAGGCTAGGCTAAAAGCTAGCAATGGAAACTACCAACGGAGCTCTGAAGGGTTAGTGACACATAGAGGAAAAACCAGCGAAGTATTTACTGGAGTGAAGGCACCTCTGATTTGCTTGAGGCGCAAAAGAACAAATTCGAACCGCTTCCGTGGGTTTCTGGCTGACAGCCCCACCAGTTTTGAAACGTGTTAAGCACATGAGTTATACCCTATAATACGTTATTAAATGCAATGTTATCCAATGAAGTCTTATACAAATGTCATAACTGCAAAACGTACATCAGGTAAATTAATTTGCAATCGTATTGCATAAGCGAAACCGCCAGGATTAAAATATAGCTGATGAAAACTGTGATCAGGTAAATGCTTCCTTTTATACCATAAACTTCTATTTGCCCCCGGTAAATGTATTTTTAAAATATGGCCCATATGTTTAATTGTAACCATGACTGGCCTGTTCCAAAGCCCACTGACTTAGGTGAGAGTCTTTACACTGATTTCAGTGGGCTTTGGACTAGGCTAGGCGTGAAATCAGTGCCAAGATGAATTACATTATTTGTCTGCCTATACTACAAATTTTGCCTGCAGTGGTGTTGTAGGTGTTGGTCCCATGGTATTACAGAGACAAGGTGAGTGAGGGTAATATCTTTTATTGGACCAATTTCTGTTGGGGAGAGAGAGGAGCTTTCTAGCTCCACAGAGATCTTCTTCAGATATTAAAAGACATTACCTCACCCACATTGTCTCTATATGATAAATAGAGACCGTATACATTTTAACTATATAGCTACAGGTATAGTTAAGTATTTGATCAAATAATTTTAAGGGTACAGAGTTACTGGCTATAATATTAATACAAACGTTGCAATCCATGCTCTGAACCCAGCTTCTCCAAAAATCACTCTGTGAGGTATTAAAAGAAAGCACCACTGCATTAACAGTGACATGTGTGACATTTCAGAGAAGAATGGCTGAACTTTTGTAATGTGTCTGTGTTTTAGGGGTGCCTCAATGTAAGACCAGGGCAAGAAATAATTCCATGGTCTTGATTCCACACCGTCCTATGTAACATTAATTCCAGGTGGTTAGACTGTAAGCTCTTAATGGCAGGTTGTGTCTCTTACACTGTATTTGTAGTTGCCTACCACAACTGGACTAGTCATGTGACAAAAATTATAGTTCCAGGTCTCCTTACAGGGACAAAATGTACCAGATCTTATTATTATACAGACAAACTTGCAACAGCTTACAGCTAAGAGGGAAATAACTTCTAACCTCAGTGGTCAATATTTGAAGCCATAGCTCCCCAAATAGGCTACATTTTCTAAAAGGTCTGGTCCTGCAGTCCTCACCCAGACTCCTCCTGAGTCTCCCACACATAGGCACTCAGATACCTGCACATAGTAGAGTAATCCACTGGGGTTTGACTCAGGTCCAGCTTGCACATTTGAATACGTATTTTTTGGGTGCAGTCACCAGTTTGCTGCTTGTGATTACATGTGATTGTACCTGCATCCAACTGGTCATTTGAACATGAAAATGGATGATTTGTGTGCATCTAGGAAATCTGTCCGGTTACATCCATTTTAGGGCATCTGCAGATACTATATCAGGAGTTAAGAAGCAGAGTGTGTGTGTGAGAGAGAGAGAGAGAGAGAATGTGTGTGTGTGTGTGTGTGTGTGTGAGAGAGCGGGGGGGGGAGGTGCTGGGGGCAGCAATCCGCTCATTCTTCTTGAGAGCTGCTAGCCTGAGACATGGATGCTCCAAAATAAATTTGTTGTTTTTAAGTCACTGACTGGGTGTTTTATATAGATCCACATTTAATAAGGAGGATTAATTAAGGAGGATTCCCTTCCCGCCCCCCTTCCTGCTCCAATTAACAGCATAGGAGTATATGATTCCTACTTTGAATCACCGTCATCTCACTTTACTTGCAAAAGCAATCTGGTTTACTTCATTATAGTGCTGACCAGAGATATTGTAGACAGTCCCATTTCCCTCTCCCTCCAGTATATCAGATTGCAAATTTATTTTCTTTAACTAATTCTCAGTATACGCTGAAAGAGATGAATTTTTGGTCAAAGCTATTTATTTTCTTTATTTCCGGAAGCAGCATTTATACAGCATTGTGATGGCCACTTGTTGAAGAATCTATGATAAGAAAATCCTATGTTTCTGTGTCAACCAGGCTTGGCAGCTTTAACTCAAACACTGGTCAAAGTTTCCATTGGACTCAGCTTTTAGTGGGGCTGACACAGTCTTTAAAAAGTCCCTTCTTTGAATACCTCAGTTTCAACTTATAAGGAAACTTGGGTCTCAGACACATAGGCTCAGATCCTCTAAGGTAGTTAGGTGCCTAACTCCAAATCAAATTCCTTTGAGGACATGGGCCATAGTCCTTTTGCAGGAAAATTCCCTTGGAAGTCAGCGAGAGTTGGCCTGCATAAAAGACTATAAGACTGAGCCCTAAATTAGTTTCCATAGTAAAAGAAAGTCAGGTCACAAAGGAGCTATGCCCATGCTTTATATTTTAAAGGGCACATATTAAAGACAGGAAGGTCCTGTTTGCTTAATGGAAAGTTGTGGCATAGCCTTGGCTATGGAATGGCTAGCATGTCTCCATAATAGTAAACCAGGTTACACAAATCACATCTGGTTAATGGGTTATTGTTAGCAATTTTATTTGCATAAAACAAAACAAAACAAAAAACTTTCACCTATTGCTTTTAGGACATATACAAGGATCAGCGCTTCAATCAGTACATTGCCCAATACTGCTGAAATATACACTTAATATGTACTTAACACTGTATTTATTTAGCTCTGCAAAGAACATGATAATCTGTTGACATAAAAAGTAACAGTGAACATATGCAATTTAATGAAAATAAATGGTAAGGAAGTTAAATGGTTTGGATGCAGTGAGGCACCAAAGTAAGTGTTGGCTCAACTGTGCATTTGTGCAGACAGAAAAACCTGCTAACGAGACGCTACTCAAAGATGTATAATTACATCCCAACCCCCATACTGAAGATGAAAAGTAAATGCTTCAAAATACAGAATATCACAATGCACTATATACGGCATCTAGTCACTACTTGATGTGCACATATAACTCATTGTTAGTGTTACTTTATGGAGCTTAGAAGAAACGGGGTATACAGAAGAATGAAAAGCCACTCCAATCATATTAGCTATAGGCACTTTTAGGAAAAACAAACAAATCAACCAAAAGCAACTAACTCATTTCAGCAGAAATCCTTTTCATACAGTGGTTTTTACATTGTATTTATTGTTGCAGCTTTATTGATAATGAATTTATATGGTATGACTATTATTCATTTAGATTAATTTAAATGCTAACCAGGTCTTCTATCTATACACCTTTGACATAACTTAAAAATACAGTACATGCTAAGTGCAGCAGTATACTTTAAGATTAAACCATCAGCAACAAGCAAGGTAAAATCTCAAGTCTCCCTCCCCATCTTTACAATAACAAACACCATCATGATCAACTCTATTAAAGGCAGCTACCTACTGTAATAATATCAGCATGGACAGCTGATCTTCTATCAATGCAACTAAGGTGGGCTCTGTTTCGTAACCAGGTTGGTACCCAAGCTGAAAAGGGTCAAGGAGATCTGAGGCAACTGGATACTGCAAAAGCGGTCTCACCACAACTTTTTGATCACCTTAGTCAGGAATGAAGGCACCATGGATATTTTAGCTTATTCTACAAGAAGCACTGAAGGAAGAAGCATGGAGAAAGAGGTTATAGCATGGGACTGGTGGTCAGAAGTTTAGTCATAGTTGAGTATCCTAAATACTTGGATAGCACTATAATGGGAACACTATATTAGCCTAAATTGACAGAGCCGATCCAGAATTTTTATCTCAGGCTCGATAGCAGATCCTGGACATGCCAATAACCTTCCATGCCTCAGTTTCCCTGACTGTAAAATACAGGTAATACTTCACGGATCTGAGATTTCTTAGTTAATGGTTTTAAAGCATTTTGATGTTCTTGCATGAATGATGCTGCAGAAGTGCAAAATACTATTGAGTTGTTTTTTTATTTAGTCTGACACACCACTTAAAAAGTACTCTCTATATTTGTAAATATTTGTTTTAATACTGGCTTACTAAACATTTACATGCATTTAGTTTACAAAGCAGAATGATATGTTTACCAGACAGAAGAGAAATTAAAAGATTTTTTACAAATTTTAATTTCTTTCTTGAGCTATCCACTAAAACTAGTATTCTAAATGCAGCTAACTTAAAATATTTAAAAATAAATGCATAAGATTATTTTTTTTAGTAAGAAAATCTAGTTGCAGTTTGTTTCATCCATTTCTAAAATCCTGAGGGGGCCAGTTCTCCCCCCTCACTTAACACTAGTTTGACACCAATGTAATTCCATTGATTTAACTGGAGTCACTCCAGACTACACCTGTGTAAATGAGACATAATCAGACCCAAAATGTGAAAGTTGTTTAATAATTCCACTTAAGTATAAAGGAAACCATGTATCCTGTATTCCCAACAGCACCATGGATGCTGCTCTTCTGTTATTCATAGCAGCAGTCACAACAAGATTTGAAAGCCAGCAGCAGATTATTTTGAAAGACTTCAAACTTGTGGCGGAATCATCCTTTTGTGAACACAATCACCTTAGCGGCATCACTATACTAGAAGGGAAGGAACATGGGCTTCTTTCACTTTTGAAATAAGTGCCAGGGATTAAAGGTTTGCACAGACATTACCACACAATAAAAGACTCAGTGATAAAAAGTGATACTTCAAAGCACCAAAATGATGCCATTTTGTATAAATATACTTCTATTCAAAAAGGTCCCAGCTGGTATCCTTACAGGGCCGGCTCTAGGCACCAGCCTTCCAAGTATGTGCTTGGGGCGGCACTTGTCAAGGGACGGCACTCCGGCTTTTTTTCTTTTTTTTGCTTGGGGCGGCAAAAAACCTGGAGCCGGCCCTGTATCCTTAGATTAGTATACGCTATAAATATAATAGAGGCAACTGTAGTTTGTATCCTCTTAAAGGACAACGTTTGAATGAAAGATCCATTGCTTTTCGAGATGTAAATCTAAAAGTGGTGCAATAATAGGTTTTACATTTTGTGGACTTTTAAATCAGTTTTGTAAAGCCCACAGCAGCTTTAGAACCTCTCATCACATGTTAGAGACTAATACATTTATTTGGGTTTTAGCCCAGAAAGCTTATGCTCAAATAAATTTGTTAGTCTCTAAGGTGCCACAAGGACTCCTCGTTCTTTTTGCTGATACAGACTAACACGGCTACCACTCTGAAACCTGTCATCACATGTTGAAACTTGTGTATGGGAAAATTGTTAATGGGAAACACTGATTTGCTCTGCTTAGCTCAGGATGGTTCAAATGTCCAATCTGTGACATAGCAAATTTAGTCCCTGGACTATGAGCTGTGGGAACACATTGCACATGGTGTGAACACAATATTTTAACACTGGAGGAGAAATCTTCACTAATGAGTCAGAAACAGACTGAAAACACATTCTCCACTTGTAACAGAGCAGAGCATCTACTCTTTGACTAAATCTGAAGTCACTTTTGAAGAACAAAAACTTTTACAGCAAAATTCATCCCAGTGCAGAGGACCCACACAAGGTACCACTTAAGCCCCATGTTAAGGTGGCAAACCGTGGCCTCTTCTCCGTGCAGAGTGCCCCATGTGTGGTGGAAGAGGTGCAAATTTGCTATGTAGGGGACAGGGTTTGTGAGGACATGTAGAGTCTGTGTACGAGCTAGGGATACAGAGCTTAGCTCTCCAGGGGAACCCAGCATGGTTGCAGGCTGGGGGGGATGGGAGTGTAGGAGGGATGTGGCAGGGTGGGTGAATCTGCTGCTAGCCATTGCCACGTTGTCACTGGGACATGGGGGCAATGCAGTACCAGGGCTGCAGTAACTCCACAGCCTGGTGAATGGAGAAGGATTCCCTCTTTTGCCAGCCTCCAGGATTCAGACAGAAAAGATGTGCAGGCCGTGGATAGTCACCCGGGCTGGGGTGAATTTTAAATAGAATTATGATATGCAACCAAAGAGAGCACAGAGTCACCCACAGAAGCCTCTTTTGTTGCTAAGCTATAGTAATTAAGTAATATGTGTGTGTGTATACATATATATCTTAAACATTCACACATTCAATAGAGTGATAATGTGAAATAGCTAGAATATTATTGGCATTTGCATATAGTCACTTCAGCCAGAAGCTCTTGGAAGAGAGGACGCTGAGAAAACCTTCATTCTATCTTCTTGAGGGCACTGCAAAGAGTTCCCATCTCACCTGCATATGAAACAGCAAAAATCCTGTTAGTCTTACAGCCTGTTTAATACATTTCAATGGAACTACATCACAGCCATATTTTCATGTCCGGAAAGAATGAGACCAAAGAGGCGGGTGATAGACTGGGCACATTAACTTCAATGGAAGTTTTGCCTGAGTACGGACAGCAGGATCAGCCCTTATATCTGGAGTTTTATCAGCCATAGATGCTGTGTAAGATCAGGGATGCTGGCTTTGAGCAGGCCAGTCAGTCAATTGGAAAGAACTGCTCATCCTGAAATGACGAAAGAAAATCCAAACAGCCTAAGGCTGTGAATATCCCCTTTTCCTTACTGGGGGCAGAGAGAGCCACAACTCTGGTTTCATCCTCCTGTGATATCACCAACCAGTCCTTCAAACTTTGCCAAAGTCCTCCAGCAAAAGGAAGAACATCAAGATGTGATATTTCCAATGTAAAAAGCAAACAATAAAGTGGGCAAACTACTTTGGGGGATGGTTGAAATTAGGAAGCAGTTTTTATACACCATAAAGGAAATACTTAGGACCTGATCAAATTCCCACTGGAGTGAGAATCAGGTCTTTAATGGCAGCAGGAGAAAAACCCTTCTCCTCATTCAGGTCCTAGCTTTTGAGGAACCTATTATAACAAAACTGCAATTGCTTACTGCTGATGGACTCAGCTAAATTCTTCAACTGCTTTGCATTGTCCAAGACTTCAATTCTCTGGGTGTACGGATCGTAGCGAATGGAGAAAGGTCGAGGGATTGATGAAGCAAATCTCCTGAAGGAGAAAAGACAAAAACTTTTATGAAAACAACTGTTTCTTTTTAAGTAACCTCCTCCTTTAAGTTGGGAGGAACTTTTATTGATGTGAAGGATAGGGAAACCAATGTGGTAAAGTAACTGAAGACCTACTCCGGGAGTAGGCAGCTGCAGTATTCTCCAGTGCTTTAGCAATATCCTTGAGGCTGACCTGGGATTCTTTCCGATAGGTGCGTCATTTATTAACCACCCTTCATTTTTTCAAACAGACCCTGTTATGCAGTATTTACCATGCTATTATAGGAGTAATACTAGCTGCTGCTGATTTAACCCAGTGAGCAAGTGTCAGAATTTCCCAGACTTTAAATCCCCATTTTCCTATTACTAATGCAGAATGTGATCCCCTGATCCACTTTTGCAGTCCCTGGGGTTGCAGACCCTGACATGCATTCGAGTAACCTCAGGGCTCGTCTAACTTCTGATAGCTGGGAGCAGCCCCCAAGGTGCTGGAAAGCCAGTCAGGGATCACTGGAGTGCAGTTTCATTCTGGCCACACCTTTTCCTCAGTCTTGCCAGGGGAGTCTTCAGCTGAGGGATTAGGGTTGCTTTACAGCCTCTTGGACTGGCACTTATATACTGGAGCTGAAGATCTGGTCTCATAATTGTGGCAGAACACCTGTCATTTGCCAAAGCTCTCTCACCGAGGTTTTACCAGATTAATAATTTGCCTTGGAAAATGTCTGTGCTTCTCAAGTCACCTACAGTTCTGGTTACTTCAAAAGTTTGAGAGAGAAAAAGTGGGAGACTTAAGGGCTAGGTAATAGGCTACCAAGACCAAGGGCCTCATGTACTCTGCAGTACAGCTGGGCCAAATTCTACAGCAGCAACTCTTGTGTTAATTTATTCTAGCACCCTGAAAGTCGTTCATTCCCAACCCCCACAAATGCACACGGTTATGGCTCATAGTTGAATATTGACATAACATTTGTTGATGATTATGTTCAGCCATGCATATTTCTGGGCATAGGTGTTTTCCTCTATCCTTTCCAGGTGGTGACCTCCGTTCCCTGGGCCATGGCTTCCGCAATGCTGTCCAGGCAACCCAGCTCCAAAGGCAAACACCTGCATGTGGCTGTGGTCAACAGGCCCAAACAATGGAGCACATCATATCTGAATGTCCCCTTTGTTCTTTTGCTGGGGGCCTGAAGGACATTCACCAGTTCACTGCTGTGGCAATGTGCTGGCAATCAAATCTAAACATAAATTTGTAGTCGTTGCTATCTATCCAAGCCACATGAAAGAAGAAGAAGAAACTCCAGATTGAATTCAGGCCATGATAGTAGTGACTGAAGCCACAATCCCACCCGAAGCTCTTTATGGACTGCTCCCCTGTGTTCATGTGGCGCTTCGCACAGAACCGTGGCCTAAACATATTATCATGTGATGGCTAGTCAGTGCTCTATAAGACAAAGGTTGCTGGTATCAGTCCAGGTCCTTCTGGGCAAGTGTCAGCATTCTGGGAAAAAGAATGTTCCTCCTAGATCTCAGCAAGAGTCCCAAGGGCTTCACTAGAAGTAGGAAACCTTAGCTCAGACACAGAATGATGACTAAAAAAACTAAGGCAGTCTGTGACTAAAATCTCCCTTGTATTCACATCCTACACACTGTTCTAATAATTTTTGTACAAAATATACCTTGTGAGGTGTCGTTTGAAAAGTAATAACTCACTGATCAATAATATCATAGTGAAATGCATGTAGTAACATCATATGTAAAGTTATGAAATCCCCCTGTATAATATTGGCACATGTTCAAAAACACACAGTTATGCCCAGGCAGAAGTATCCTGAACAAAGAAATGTGTGTTTACCTCAGTAATACATATAAGTATTAAACAAGGTCCTCAAAACAGCAGGGAGAGGAGATGGCAGGCGACAAAGCAAATTAGTATTTCAGCAAACACGGGTGAGAAGAAAGAACATGGAGTCTCCTTCACCACCAGACTTCATGTCACCTTCTTTACTATTGGAATAAACTTTGTCTTGAGGAATAACCCTCAGAAGAATCTACTTCAAAGGTTAACTGGACTATAAAAGAAAGGGGCAGAAAACACCAAGGTATCTCTCTCTTTCTCACCTAAGATGACAAAAGAAGCAGATCATTGACTTTGAGGGGAGATCCCAACCTGAGAATTTGGACAGCCACATTGCTGGGAACGTGTGTGAGGATTTTACCTTGAACCAAGTCTAGCTTGTTAAGTTTTATTTTATTTATTATCAAGTGTAAGAGAGTTTTATTTTTATTTCTCTTGTAACCATAGTACCTGATACTTGAATTCACTCAAAATCCTGTTTTGTTTTGTTAATAAACTTGTTTTATTTTTAATCTGAAGCAATTCGGTGCTGTGTTTGAATTTAACTGTTTGGTAACCAGTTAAAGCAGCAAACTGTTGAATACTGACCCTTTACAGGGGCAATGGATCTTTAATATCTGAACTGTCCAGGAGAGGGCTGGACAGTGCAAAATAAATGCTTTGGGGAAAATTTGGAACTGGACGTGTGTTGGGGTCACCCTGAAAGTAGTAACCAAGACTGGTGGAAGCCAGAGTGTGACTGGGGTGCTGCTGACAGGTTGCTGGGGTCAGAGCTGTTGGATCAAGGCTGTAGATATGCACACACACACTCAGGGTGTGACCTTCATGCTGGTAGCTCTTTGTGAGTGGCCCAGTTTGGAAGCTACAACAGTAAAGCATTGTAAGGAACCCATGGTTACAAGGCAGGCAGTGACCCAACCTTATTTCAATGTAAAGCCCAAGTTGGAAATAGATACATGAGGTGTAACATAAATAATAATAGTTATTTTTATTATTAAGGGTTTCCATTGTGGAATAAAAGGGGGAAAGATTTGAGCAGCAGATGAAGCTACTGAGCAGAACCAGAAAAGAATAGTTGTTATGAAAGGAGAACATAGCCCAAGGATTTTGTTGTTAGCCTCAACTACAAGAAGCCAAGGCTTGACTGGGCAGAGAGACTGAACTACTCTCTCATCCCTAGAAGGGATTTCCCCAGGATGTGATTGGCAGAGTAGCATCACTTCTGAGAAAAACTGAAGATTTCAGCCTTCAGGGCTATCAAGCTGACGACAGAACACATTCAAACAGTCCCCTTATGCAGAGCAAAAGCTCAGAGAAGCTTTCAAAAGCCAGACCAGAAGTCTTAAACTTCAAGAATTCAGAGAACATGTTCCTCAGCTGCAGAGGTCCACAAAGGCCTCGGGGAGGTATGTGTGTGTGTGTGTAAGATATTGCCTATAATGGAGAGGATTATTTTACCTTACTTTTTCCTTTGCTATTTTTAAAACTTTCAGCAACATAGTAAACAGGCTGGAACTCAGTGACGGGGTATTTCTGGACTGCAGTCTTCTCCAGGTTAAGGGATTGAATTTCAGGCTTATCTGATAAACAGTACTGCATGGAAAGAATGAGAGATTTCTTTCAATTAAAAAGTGGTCTTGTTTGAATAACGGAGGAGGACAATGTTATTTAGACATGCACACATTCAGTTATTCAGCACCTGCTCTTCCTCCCATTGAAGACAAAAGGAATTTGACCATTGAGTTCAAAGTGAGGAGAAGCAGGCCCTAAATTAATATAATGATACATTTATGAAATATGACTTCTATGCAAAATAATAGAGTCATAGATTTTAAGGCCAGCCTTCCCGTTTAACACAGGCCATGGAACTTCCCCAAATCTGTTTGAATTAGAGCCGATTTATTTAGCAAAAACATCCAATCTTGATATACTAGTTGCTAATGATGGTGAATCCATCACTGTCCTTGGTGAGTTGTTCCAATGGTTAACTACCTTCACTGTTGAATTTTGTGCCGTATTTCCAGTCTGAATTTGTGTAACTTCAATTTCCAGGCATTGGATTGTGTTACACCTTTCTCTGCTAGATTGAACAGCCCACTATCAAATATTTGTTCTCCCTGTCAATACTTAAAGACTGTCAACTCACCCCTTAACCATCTCTTTGATAAGCTAAATAGATTGAGTTTCTTGAGTCTATCACTGTAAAGCAGTGGTCCCCAAACTTTCAGAGTCATGTCCCCCTTTGCCCTGTCTGCACCCTCTACGCCCCCGCCGGGGTCAGGAGCGGGGCTGCAGCTCCAGGAGGTGGGAGACACAGATGGGGTAAGAGGGCCGAGGCTGGGGCCAAGCTGGGGGTGGGTCTGGGGCCAGGAGTGGGGCCACGGACAGGGGCTGAGGCTGAGGAAGGGGGCAGGAATAGAGCCGCAGCTGGGCTACGGTGGGGGCCAGCAGAAAGGCCAGCGGCCAGGTACAGCTCCACTCCTCGCCTTGCTCCCAGCCTTGGCCCCAGACCAGGAATGGAGCCGTGCCTAGAGGCTCACACTGGGGGCTGGCGCAGGAGCGGAACCACAGTGAGATTGGGGATGGGGCCAAGTGCAGGGCCGGGAGCCAGGGATGTGGCTGGGGGCAGGACCAGAGCAGAGCTGGGGGCGGGGAGGGGCTGAGTGGCACTCCCTCCTGGGGGGGGGGCAGGTCCTGCTGCGCCCCCAGATGTTCCTCCGTGCCCCCCACTTTGGGACCCTCTTCTATAAAGCATGTTTTACAATACTTTAATCATTCTCATGATTCTTCTCTGAACCCTCCCCAATTTATCAACATCCTTCTTGAATTGAACTGAATACAGCGTTTCATTAACAGTTTCACCAGTGCCCAACACAGAGGTAATATAATCTCCTTACTCCTATTCAAGACTCTAAGCATCGCTTTAGCCTTTTTGTCCACAGCATCATACTGGGAGCTCACGTTCAGCTGACTGTCCACCATGATCCCCAAGTCTTTTTCAGAGTCATTTCCCAGTCCTCTACCCTGTAAGTATGGCCTGCATTCTTTCTTTCTCGATGTATGTCTTAACATTTGGCTGCATTGAATTATAGTACTCCATTTAATTCAATCTGGATGCACAGTACTAGGTGAAGATACAGTAACATTTACATAAGAAACACGTAATTAAAAAAAAAGAACACAAATCATGTAGCTATTATGACGCGTTATTGGCAACAAACCTGCAACTCGCCAAATGAAGACAGCAGCCCAGCACCATAGGCCTTTATTGTATCACCTTCTTTACAGAGTCCAAATTCCACCGTAAACCAATAGACCTAACATCAAAATTAGACAGAAATAGATGATTCTCTAGGCAAAAAATATCTGACCGTGGGGCACTGATTTTTAAGTATTTGGAACTTACCTTTGCTAGAGAACGTTTTTATTTAAAAGTGTAGCTATGGTTTAAATAGTGACTGTTTTAAAATGGTTCCTTTTTACTGAACAGATCTGCTCTCGTTCAGTGAAATTCACCCCTTTGAAGAGGGTCAGCAGTAGGTCTATGTTTCACTTACATCCTACTTAAGCCGTCAAAATAGCCATGTGTGTATTCAGATCTGCTTACTTTCCTGACAGAATAGTTATTTGTTACAGCCTTTATATTTTTTGGCAGAACAGAGCCAATAAAGCTACATGAGAGAGAAATGGATTGTAATACAGGTTGTCAATCATTGACAGAGGTTGAGTTTTGTTCCCTTAGTGACACAAATTATGTTTCCTGTTTCACATGTAGGGCACCAAGGTATTACAGAGGCAAGGGAGAGCAAAAGAGACTAAATTGTTAGCAGAACTCTGACAATTGCTTATGGATAGCCTTGGAAGGAGTAGATTTTTAATCAGTAAATGTTGGTAAACATCAATTTCAGTGTACATGCACAAAGCAAAGAAAAAATATTTTCAAAGGTAACAATTGAAATTTACAGATTGGTGAAGTAAGAAAAATGCTTCCTGAGAACTTACTAGAGTTTGATTTAAGAATATTTACTTTGTATATTTTGACATGTGATGTTAACAATTTGTGTTGTAACAGTTCTGAAGCTTTACATTTTTCAATCTTAATGTCTACTACTGTCACTCAGTAAATATTGTCTGCCCCCCCCATTATTTCCCACATCTGTGAAAATTTAAATAGATAAAAAACGAAAAAGTTTAAAAAACAAAATTTTGTGCAACTGTGAAAATGTAAATGTCTAAAATGCTTAAAAACAAACATGAATATTAGCAGTCAAATTTATAAAAAAATAAATAAAAATGGAATTCTGCCAAACCTACTTATGCTACCTGAGCTAGAAAGAACACAGCTTGACTTTCAGCTGGAGTTCATAAAGCTCTGCATCTCAGCTCTCCCACAGTAGGATATGAGTAACTCCCATTGACATCAGAGGGAGTTATTTGTATCATAGGGTGGAAGAGCAGAGTCCTTGGCAGGTAGAACGGCTGTCAAAACTGCCTCTTGCTGCACATTTACAGGAGAAATGAAGTAACTGCAGTATCTCCTTACCAGAAAGGGTCCAGCTAGAGCAACTACACTCTTGCCCTTCATGTTTAATCACAACTGTAAAGTCAATAAGGCTCTGATAGGATAAGCATTCTTATTATCCATGAAGGCAAGTGTTTACAGGTGGGATTTTCCAAAGTGCTTATCATTGGCCTAATTCTGCTTCCATTAAAGTCAATGGGAATTCCACCACTGACTTCAGTGGAAGCAGAATTAGGCCAGCCCCAGATCTTCAAAAGGTATTGAGGCACTTCACTCATTGTAATCCACAGGAATCAGGTGCCTAAATAATTTTTTTAAGATCCGGGCCTGAGAGCTTTGCAAAATCCCATCCTAATGTATTAAATTACCGTAGCAAGTTTCTCAATATATTCATCCGGTGCTCCCAAGGATGCAAGTCCAATTTCCTGCAACAATAAATCATTGTTCTTCAAGCTGTTTAGTGCAAACATTGCTTCTTATATGCGTTATTTCATTGTTCACTTTTTAATTACCATCTAGTACCACCACACATAAGTGTTAACAGAGCACCTTACCCTAGTGCATCAGAAATTGTTAACCAGAAGTCCCTATGGAAGTTAATGAGGGGCTCTGTCTAAATGTCATTTGCGTGGTGTGACCCATTGGACCTGGCATGTAGCCCATTTCCACTGACTTCAATAGGGTTTGGATCAGGCCGATAGTAAGCAATCAGCAGAGCCTTACAATAAAAAGATGATAAGTCAATCACAAAGCAGATACTTTAAATATTTATCATTGTTCTGGTGGACCCTGATGGAACGTGAACATAAGAACGGCCATACTGAGTCAGACCAAAGGTTCATCTAGCCCAGTATCCTGTCTTCCAACAGTGGCCAATGCCAGGTGCCCCAGAGGGAATGAACAGAACAGGTAATCATCAAGTGATTCATTGCCTGTCGCCCATTCCTAGCTTCTGGCAAACAGAGGCTATGGACACCATTCCTGCCCATCCTGGTTAATAGCTGTTGATGCTGCCCATCCTGGTTAATAACTATTGATGGACCTATCCTCCAAGAATTATCTAGTTCTTTTTTGAACCCTGCTATAGTCTTGGCCTTCACAATATACTCTGGCAAGGAGTTCCACAGGTTGACTGTGCGCTGTGTGAAAAAATAATTCCTTTTGTTTGTTTTAAACCTGCTGCCTTTTAATTTCATTTGGTGGCCCCTAGTTCTTGTGTTATGAGAAGGAGTAAATAACACTTCCTTATTTACCTTTTCCACACCAGTCATGATTTTATAGACCACTATCATATCCCCCCTTAGTCGTTTCTTTTCCAAGCTGAAAAGTCCCAGTCTTATTAATCTCTCCTCATTGAGCAGTCGTTCCATACCCCTAATCATTTTTGTTGCCTTTTTCTGAACCTTTTCCAATACCAATATATCTTTTTTGAGATGGGGTGACCACATCTGCACACAGTATTCAAGATGTGGACATACCATGGATTTATATAGAGGCAATATGTTATTTTCTGTCTTATTATCTATTCCTTTCTTAATGATTCCCAACATTCTGTTAGATTTTTTGACCGCCACTGCACATTGAGTGGATGTTTTTAGAGAACTATCCACAATGTCTCCAAGATCTCTTTCTTGAGTGATAACAGCTAATTTAGACCCCATCATTTTATATGTATAGTTGGGATTATGTTTTCCAATGTGCATTGCTTTGCATTTATCAACAGTGAATTTCATCTGCCATTTTGTTGCCCAGTCACCCAGTTTTGACAGATTCTTTTGTAACTCTTCACAAGCTGCCTGGGACTTAACTATCTTGAGTAGTTTTGTATCATCTGCAAATTTTGCCACCTCACTGTTTACCCCTTTTTCCAGATCATTTATGAATATGTTAAATAGGACTGGGCCAAGTACAGACCCCTTGGGGATACCACTATTTGTCTCTCTCCATTCTGAAAACTGACCATTTATTCCTACCCTTTGTTTTTTATCTTTTAACCAGTAACCAATCCATGAGAGGACCTTCCCTCTTATCCCATGACTGCTTACCTTGCTTAAGAGCCTTCGGTGAGGGATCTTGTCAAAGCCTTTCTGAAAATCTAAATACACTATATCCACTGGATCCCCCTTGTCCACATGCTTGTTGACCCCCTCAAAGAATTCTAGAAATTGGTGAGGCATGATTTCCCTTTACAAAAACCATGCTGACGATTCCCCAACAAATTATGTTCATCTATGCATCTGACAATTTTGTTCTTTACTATACTTTCAACCAATTTGCCTGGTACTGAAGTCAGGCTTCAGTTTGCCTGGAGTTACCTCTGGAGCCCTTTTAAAAAATTGGTGTCACATTAGCTATCCTGTACCAAATGACTGGAGAAGCTGATTTAAATGATAGGTTACAGACTACAGTTAGTAGTTCTGCAATTTCATATTTGAGTTCCTTCAGAACTCTGGGGTGAATACCATCTGGTCCTGGTGACTTACTACTGTTTAGTTTATCAATTTGTTCCAAAACCTTCTCTAATGGCACCTCAATCTGGGACAGTTCCTCAGATTTGTCACCTAAAAAGTGCTTCCCCATAAGCTCATATGAAATGGTTCCAGAAGCTAGGGGCACAGTGTGAAAAGAACCTACTCTTATCTCAGGAGCTAAATGTGAATATGAATTACAAAGCCATCCACATGAGTGTAAAATACCCAAAGAGCAGAAAAAAAAATACAAGCCCAACTCAAGAATGTGTATAGCTAACTTGCTCTAAAACACAGACTGCATGCTGCAGAGTCAAAGGCTAGGTCCTCACTGCAAAAAAGAGGGCCATCTTGATGTAAAACCCTAGCTGGAGACAAGACAGAGGTTGCTTTTGCCTTGATGTAGCTAGTTGAGGTAAACCCCGGGGATGTGTGGGGGTGTGCACATGTGGGGGGTTGGGGGTAACAGGGTTGATCTTCACTTACGACACCAAGATAAAGACTATCTGTGCCTTGTTTCAACTAGGATTTACACTGACTTAGCTATCTCGATGTACAAACACACCCTTTGGTGCAGTGAAGACATAGCCAAAAGCTCAATCCCTTCCTGAGGTTTGGTGTGATTAACAGAGAAATTAAAAAATAACAACATACAATACAAAGTAGCAGCTCAAATTTTCTCCACCAGGTTTGACGGCTCTGAGGATTCCAATCTTACCTCACCTCAGCTACTCTCCACCCAAGTCACTCCAGCTCCTGTATATCAGAGTGGGGTAACAAGTCATCTGACTCAGATGTCATCTAATCCTTTCTAAACAGGATTAACACCTGCTAAGAGGGTGTTAGGCAAACACTATCAGCCTATTTCAAGGGATATGGATTAAAAAACCAAAACTACACAAAAATGAAATCTATATTTTGTATACACTAGGGTTTTTTGCGTGAACAGAGCCTAATTTTTAAACAATAAATAAAACAGGTTCTACTTAAATATATGTACAGCAAAATTTTAAATCACATTGCATACTTTGCATAACAGATCGGCCAATGTGCTTCACTCTGACTGATGGGATCACTTCCGGGAGACAGGAGAGTGTGTTTTCTATGCCCATTCAGTTCTTAGCAACTTTGTTGAATCTGCCAATGCAGCTGCCAATTAATATTATGTTTACCTGTCCATAAAGAACTAGACCTTTTCACACAGATTGCTGAACAGCAGACAGATAATAAATACTTGTTTTTACATGTGAAACTGACTCACCTGGCCTCAACTAGATTTCATACAATAAGCTAGAATTTGAAAGCTCCATAACCCTTTACCAATTTTCTGAATTATCCGGTGTCTGGCATCTTAAGTTACAATGATAGAGTAATGTATGACTTACCTGGGAAAACTGAGCAAAGCTAATGTCAGCAAACAGAGGTACATGTCCTAGGAGCTCATGGCAAACATCACTAGAGAAAATAAGCTGTATGAATTAACTTTATTTCAGAAACATGTGTAGACACACTAGTGTCAGAGTCTCTCCATGTGTACAGAGGAGAAATCACATTAGAGAGAAATGCCCAAGATCCAGAGGGAAAGGAATTTCTATCTCAGGCACTTCTGGAGCCCACACTACTGTGCCATCTGGGTCTCTCACAATTTATAACAAATTTATGCTCACTACAGCCCTGTGAGGAAGGGAAATGCTGTTTCCCATATTTCACAGAAGAGGCACTAAGGCCCAGGGAAACTAAGTGATTTGCCCAAGGTCACACATGCACTTTGTGGCGGAGCAGAGAATTGGGAGCAGATCTCCCTAGGCTTGTGCCGTAACCATAGGACCCTTCTCCCTTTTCATTTTGTTAACAATAATCACTGCTAATAGCTGAAGAAGAGAACAGTAAAGCAAATTTTGGCCCTAAGTCAAATATACCCTGTATATTCAGCCCTGCAGAGAGAAGCAGCTCAAGACCTATGCACCACTTAAGTCTCACAAAATAAGTGCAGAGGCTTTGTGCCAGCCCTTTGCACAGGAGGAACATAACTCTCTTTGAATTCCTGGGCCAGGTTCACCGGAGCCAACACCTGTAGGTGTAAACTATACCTTCCTGCACCACCCCTGCAGCCCAGAGGGAATTCACCCTGCAGAAGATGCTGTGTTGGAGCTGCTACCCTCATGTGGACTTTTCAGCCATGGGAGTAGGGGGCAGCTTTAGTTTATCATGTGGCCTCACAGGAAGCAAGCTGACCAGGCTGTTGAGGGGCCGTACTTTGGAATCTGCCTGGCCAAGTCCGCTTTGACCTGTGCCACTCACTTCTTGGGCTGCTGCAGCCTCCCGCTGGCAGACTCTCCTTCACACTCCCACAGATATGGCGGTTTGCCAAAGCAGCAATTCTTTTGCTTAAAGCTCCCAGATGGTCAGAGCATGTGTTTCAGGGAGAGCTGGGCAAGGGATTGCTGGTAGTTGGAAAGGCAGAGAGGAAGTGGTGAGGGGTTGTGCAGCTTTGCCATATCCCTGGCATAAAGGATTGGGTGGGGGAGAAAAATAGAATAGGAAGGAACAAGGAAAGAGGGAGGAGGATGAGATTCTCCAGGCAGCACAGGGGCTGCAGAAGACACTCAATACAACTCTGCTGTGCAGAGGGTGGGCAGCTACAGAATGGATATGCAGGGGAACATGGTAAGTTGTGCATAGCAGAGCAGGGCTCCAGATAGATCAGCATGGAGGGAAGTGGAGTAGTGCAGGCTAGGGACAGGGAGGTGGCCAGTGGGTCTGCAGTTATGATGTGTCAGTGGTCCCAAGCCCCTGTGAAAGGGGAGCACAAGGTTCGCATCCACTATTGCAGACCAGGGACTGGAGTAATGGCTCTTGAGAGACTGTGAATTTGCCTTCAATTTGCACATGTGGCTGTGTGGGAGGATAACACCCACTGCACAAAATGGTTTAACAAATTTCACCTAGACTGAGAAGAAACAAGAGAGAGGGAAGAAAGAAGAATGATGTGAGGGAAAAATGGATGGAGAGGAGGAAGTGAAGAGAGGGGTAGGAAGTAAAGAAATAAGGGGGAAAAGGAGAAATGGAAAAAAGAACAGATTAATTTTAAAGAAAAAGAGAAAGAGGAGAAAGAAAATAAACACAAGGTAGAGTTAACAAGATCAAAGGAAAAATGGAGAGAGAGAGAGAATTAAAGATGAAGATGAAAGGAGGAAAGAAAGGCATAACAGAACGTAAATGTGGCAAGAAGGAAGAATAAGAGATCTATGACAGTCAGTTAGTGAAGCTGATCAGTTCAAGAAGGGCTAGCAGAGGAAGGGACAGCTTGCAGAGACAGAGCTACACTCTCTCGCTAAGGAGACAAGAAATCCCTTCTAAAATGTTCAGATGAGAGCAACAATATAATGGGGATACCTCGGTATGGTACAGTGTAGTGCTTTACCATGAGGATGGGTATATTAGTAATAGGGCCCTACCAAGTTCATGGCCATGAAAAATGTGTCATGGGCCGTGAAATCTGGTCTTTTGTGTGCTTTTACCCTATACTATACAGATTTCACAGGGGAGACCAGCGTTTCTCAAACTGGGGGTCCTGACCTAAAAGGGAGTTGCAGGGGTCACGGTTTTGCCACCCTTACTTCTGCACTGCCTTCAGAGCTGGGTGGCCGGATAGCAGCGGCTGTTGGCCAGGCGCCCAGCTCTGAAGGCAGTGCTGCCGCCAGCAGCAGCACAGAAGTAAGGGTAGCAGTACCACAATCCCCCCTACTATAACCTTGTGACCTCACCACAACTCCTTTTAGGGTCAGGACCCCTATAATTACAACACTGTGGAATTTCAGATTTAAATAGCTGGAACCATGAAATTTATGATTTCTTAAATCCCATGAGCGTGAAATTGACCAAAATGGACCGTGAACTTGGTAGGGCCCTAATTATTAACAATAGTATTAACTGCAGTTATTATTTATTAACCCACCTGCATAGTTAACCTCTGCAGCTTATGCAGCCCTGTCTACCTTCAGTGCCAAAGTACTTACGGTTCTGGTGTGTACATTGGTTTAGATCCATGGCGGATGTACTGTGTAGAGTGAAACACTCTGAATGCCAAACCAGCCAGGAAATCCCGAGAAGACAGCAGGCCAGCGACAGGGCGTAAGCGGAATCCAGTGCAGGCTTTAGGGAGAAAAAGGTTCCATTTTAAAATGTCTATTGGACTTGGTTTATGCCTCTCCTTTGGGTCCTGGGAACTGGACAGAACTTCACATCAGTTTTCTCTCTTAATTATAAGCTTGGGTACCAAATAGTGGAGAACTCCCTATCTGCCTAAGGTACTTACATGGCCACCATCACCACAGTATCTCTAGGCCTCACACTCTTTAATATATTCATCCTTGACACACGCCTGTAAGGTAGGGAATGCTATTATCCCTATTTCGCAGGTGGGGCACTGAGGCAGGGAGTAACTAAGTGACTTTCCTAAGGTCACACAAAGTCTGTGGCAGAGCAGGAAATTTCACCTAGGGCTCTCAAGTCTCAGGCTAACACCCTAACAGCTGGACCATCCTTCCTCTCTATTGGGCTATTTTAACACAAACATACTTTGCAAGAATTTTGAAACATCTTCAAGTTGTGGAATATTATCCTCCTGGTAGCCACAGTATTTTTCCAGTAGCGGGAACACGTGGTTGTGTTCATAGCAAGCATGAGTTGGATAGAGAGTCTTCAGCTCCCTGAAGACTGTGCCCCACGTTTTCTTTTCTTCCTCTGTGTAAGTCACTTTAGGAATAGGCTGCCCGCTGTAAAGCAAAGAGCATTTTTAATCCACAGTGAAATGCATACACCTTAAACCAGCAATATAAAGAAGTGGCTTGTGTCACTGGCATCTGTGCTTGTACTCCCACCCGGAGCTGGACAGGAGTTGGTGCGGGTGACAAAAATCCCTCTTCTCATATACAGCAAGAGAGAAAACAATGTGATGCACAAGGGGCCTGATCCTCCTTTCACTCGCATTTGTGTACATCTGGGATAACTCTATTGAATTCAATTGAGCTATGCTGTCATTTAGATTGTACACTCTTAAGGGCAGAGGCTGTCTCTTCCCCTGTATTTGTTCACTGCCTGGCACAATGCGGCCCTGATCTCAGTTGCAGCCTTTTGGTTCTACTGTCGCAAAAGTAAACCGTGTTTATTTTGCTGCTGCTGATGATCTGCTAGTAAAATTCACTGACTGCTGAATTTCATTGATTTTCCTTTATTGATGTGCAGAAGGTTGTTGCATTTCACGCCTATTGATTTCTTTTGACGTTCCTACTGTGGTCAGGAAAACTTCAGTTCTGAAGATGCACAGCTTTTACTGGTTTAAGTATCGTGAAGATGTTCCTAATTATCACTAAATGCAGATTTTGGTAAATTTGATTTTTTTAAAAAATGAATAACCCCCGGGTCAAATTCCCCCTCAGTCATGTGTTCATGCAGCTCATGCTGATGTTAACAAGAGGTAGGCACCATGAACCATGACTTTGGCCCTGCATTCCCTATTCCCTTGGAATTAAATGGAGGAAGGAAGATTCCTTAGCAATAAAGAAAAGGGCCATAGGTGAATCCCCAGCTTTTAAAAATCAAAGGGTTTTAAGCAACTTAATAGGGTTAGCAGCACTCCTGGAATAATGCTAGGGCTTTCCAAGCCCAGAGATTCATTGTTAAACTCCAGTGATATCCCACCGCCTCCCACTCTCTCATTTTAACTTCAGCCTGGGGGCAGCTCCCCAGTAACTCTGTAATTTTCTGCCTGTGTGCATCAGTCCTCCTTGATCTATGGAGCTTTAAACATGCTCTTGAATTATTAAGAATGCTGGGGGACCACTGCTGTTCCTACTGCACTCACTGGTCCTAATTAATCTTTGGGACACTTTCACAGGGCTGGAGAAGGAAGCCGAGGCTTAGCGCACTTTCAAATATCCATCAAAAGTCCCAGAGATCAAGAGGGCAGGGACGAGGGAAGGAGGCACGAGAAAAGGGAGCCAAAAGCAAGGGAGAGAGAAGGCAGGGAAGTAGGAATTCACGCTGGGGAAGGATAAGAGTAAAATGAAAAAAGAAAAAGGAGAGAAGAGAGTCAAACAAGCAGCAGATATGGGCAGAAAAGACGTGCAAGGGGAAAGCGACGGGCGGGGGAAGAGATCAAAGGAAAAGAGGACAAGAGAGTGTGAATCTGCTCATTACATGGCTGTCCCACTTCTTGAGGCTGATTTTTAGAGGTAATGGCACCTGAATTTCATAGTTACCCTTTAAAGGCCCAACCTTCCCATCACCCCCAACAAGCTCCAAGTTCACTGGGGATCCTCTGTGCCTGGATCTGCCCCTTTTTACACAGCTGGGAACTCAGCTGCCTCCATAGAACTGTTTCTCACCCCACTGCAGAACCTGCAACAGGGCATCTTTGCAGGGCTCAAGGTCTGAGGGTGCAGCTACTGGGTGGCTGGATGGATGGCCCAGGGTGGTGCCAGAGGGTTCTACACGGTACCCCTTCCACTTTGTGAAGAATCCAAAAAAGCTAAATTTCTTTGCCAACTTGTCACTGTTCTATTATTATTCTATTATTTGAAAGCATGGCGCTTATGAACTCCTAATAGAATACGAAGTAAACACATAAAATCCCAGCCTGGCCTATCTCCCGATAAGGACAATTTAGTAATACTGTTGGGGGTCTCATCCTCCTAACTTGTTTCTGGTTTGGTAATGGCTATTCTTGATACTTGTTCTATTATTTTTATATAAAGTTTGGTTGAAGTTTGCAAAGTAAGGGACAAATTCTGCTGTCAGTTACAAAGGCTACAATTCCACGTACTCCTGTAAGTGGGGATGCACCTCTGTAACTAAGATCAGAAACTGGCCATAGAGGTTCACCCAAACTTTCTAGCCAGCAAGCAGGTTCCTCTCTGATTTCTTTGACTCCTTTCAAGCAATTAAACAGTCAAGTTGGATCTTTTTGTCTTGTAACTTAGATTGTAAGCTCTTTGGGAAAGGCACTGTCTTTCTGTTCTGTGTTTGTACATCAGCCTGCACAGTGGGGCCCAAAGTAAAATTAATAAAATAAAATAATAATAATCATGGTTTAAAAATCATGAAAGACATGATCTGATCCTTTGAAGTCAAAGAGAGACTTACCATTGACTGCAAGGATTGGGCCCGTTAGGTACAATATAAAAGCGTGAATGACTTTGGCGGAGAGTTTTAGTTCCTATTGTCATTCAAATTTGACCGTGAACAGAAAAAGAAATAAAAAGCAGAAAACAAAATGAAGTCCATCCTAGAGAAGTGGATCTGCTTCATTTGTTTATTTTGCTTGTGAAACGAGAACCTAAATTGCTCAATGCAGCTGGATCAGACATGATAAAAGTAGAGTAATAAGCACTGGATTAACAAGAGGACCATACGTTATTCATTATTTTAATAGTGTGTGCAGCTCCTTTAATGTAAATTATATACACTCTCCCCCTCTCCACTGTTTAATATGGAGAATACCAGAAGCTGCATTATTCAGTGCTCAGGTCTTTGTAGTAGCATGTGATACTGTTGTACAATTAGACAACAAAGCTTGGTGCTGGAGTGTGGTGGGGGGACATGTCCTCATTTGAATGTCTGCCTTGAGCAATTTACTTTTGTTTTGCTGTAATTTGGGATAAATGCATTTACAGGAAGATTTAAACACACGCCAAGAAAGAAGGAGCCAACAGCAAAAAGGAAATCCCTGATAAGAATTTGTTGTTGCCGTGATGAAAGGGCAGTGACAGGTTGGGAAGCATTCACTTGTGTGACTGGTGTCTCTCTTGTCCGTGTGGTGCACACTCACTGTCTGTAGTTGTAGGCCATGTCAGCAAACTCCTTTCTGCGGGCCCGGTAAACAGGATCTTTGAAACCCTAGGAGGAAACAATTAAAATGTACTCCTCTTGCTTAGTGGGAACAATGCAGGGTTCAGGCCTTAATCCTGCTCCCCCTGAAGACACTGGGAGCTTTGACACTGAATTCAGAGGAAGCAGGAAAGTGATCTTAGGCTAAAATTGAGACCCCAGCCCACAGGGTGGACGCCAAGAGCAAGCAGAGAAGACCGATTCTTCCCAGGCTGAATGACTGCTTTGCTGAAATAGCATATGCAGGCTGTTCACATCCTCCCACCAGAGGGTGTGTGGGAGAGAGACAAGAGGATCCATTTAGCAGCAATTTCCCAGCCTTACTCATGTCCTGCCTCCTCCCGTTCTCTGCACGCTGCCCAGCAGGGGGCTCACAAAGAGTAGAGCTTCACTCATTACCACACTGGGGGTGTGCACCCTGATGCATGGCTCCCCCACACATTTAAGCTAAAAAGCTCACCTCTTATACACTTATTTCTCACAAGGTTCATCTAGCCAGTGAGGATTAGGCCTCACCTGAAGATGAGCTCTGCGGAAGCTCAAAAGCTTGTATCTCCCACCAACAGAAGTGGGTTGAATAAAAGGGATTCCCTCACCCCCTCATCTCTCTCATATCCTGGGACTGACACAGCTACAATGCTGCATACTCCTGTCCTTTCTCTGTCTTGTCTATTTAGACTGTGAGCTCTTCAGGGCAGGGACTGTCTCGCACTATGTGTATGTACAGTGCTTAGCACAATGGGACCCCTGTTTCAGTTGAGACCTCCAACTACTACTCCAATATACAAATAATAATGGTAATTTGGTTAACCCCAGCACAGTACAAGATGAAACTGGATCTGGGGACAACTGGTATCCAACATAGTTGTATTAGATCAAAGTATTATACACAAAAAGGGGTCAGGTGATTTGAAAAGTTATATATTATAGAATAGAATGGTATAATAGAACATTTATCCTATTTTTAGCTCCCACGTCTACTTAAATGACAGCGACTGAGTGACTCCTAGTTTTTCCTCCTGGCTGCATCCTAAATTCTACTATCCTTTCTTACTATACCATATGCCTGGTTGTGCTTTGATTTTATGAGAACATAGAGGACACTGATCACTAACTAATGAGTTCTACCAGTTAGAACTGAGCTGCTTCATTCATTTCAATACCTGAGTTTTTTTTTTTTTTTTTGCTTTCAAGAACAACATTGTTTTATGACATGCTCGTATGCCAGTGCAACAAATGAGAAGGCTATTGATTTAGTTTGCTGAAGTAATTGCATCTTCTTTCATTCTGTTTTTCATATGACCGCACTGAATATCATGAATCATTGTACATGATACACAACGGACTTTGAATTAAGCAATAGGTAGTGAATGACTAATCACCCCATCTCAATTAAACTAATAGCAGCAATTTTTGCTACACTGCGTGTAATTTATTTATAATCAGCCTGTCTCAATTAAACTAATAGCAGCAATTTTTGTTGTGCTGCATGTAACTCCATGTGTTTTGACATGAAAATAAGTTATTGTATGGGGGGGGGGGATAGAAAGTATTTTTGCATCAAGAAAAGTCTTTAAAACACTTAAGGATTCATGTGCTCACTAGCACAAACAAATGCACTTTCATTATTTAAATTGCAAGCCCCTTGGAGCAGGGACCACTTCTTTTGTTGGGGCTTGCATCATAAATGCCACATTGGCATTCAACAAATAATATGTAGGTGTCAATCAACTATACGTTCATTATAAAAGGAAAAAAAGCTCTGAATATCCCCATGCTGGAATATGGTGATTGTCAACTTTCTGTGGCTAAAAAATTGTTCATCAAGACACCGTATCCCAGAATCCTTTGCATATGTGTAGTTGGGAGAAAGTGAGTGTGCCTGTGATGACTGTGTGCTTTGAAGATCCCCAGCTGCCATAATGCTTGGGGCTGCTGGTATTTGCATAAGTTAGAGCAGCCTCCAGACTGATCTAATTTATGTCAGGGACTGACTCTCAAACAACCCTATTTATGGGAACTGCCTTTGTGCCTCCCTGGACCACTAGAGTTACCCTGGTATAAAACATGTGTACATGAGAATCCCAATTACTATAAAGTTGTTCTTTGTTTAAAGGTAGAACTCATTTCTTACAGGGTGGTCTGCATCCAGTTCAGCTCCATAGCTTAGGATCTGATTGGCAAATCTGTCAAGCTCCTGGATAGTTCTCGGGAACCATGGCACTAAAAAACAGAAAAGAAAATACAAATTAGCCTCTTTTCATTTTAGCTTATCTTGGGGTCTCATCTAACTCTTTTCATTTCTTTGATATAAATATAAAGTAGGATAAACACCAGGCTAGAATCACTGGTACTTTTCAGAAGTGTTGCACTGCACCAGTGATGCAATACAACAGTAAACCCAGTTTCATGAGCCAGTTAAGTTGGGTTTATGGATGTTTTGCATTGTTGGAGCTATGCAAAGCAGCTGGAGTAAATCCAGCTCCTGGCATTAAGTTTGCTTGTGACTGTTATTATTTATTGCTTGATTATTAATTTTTCTTGAATTATCAGAACATAGGAATTACCAGACTGGATCAGACTCAAGTTCCATCTAGTCTAGTATCTGGTCTTTGACGGTAGCCAGAGTCATCCACTTCAGGGAAAGGGGCAAGAAACCTTGCAGCAGGTAGATATGGAATAATCAGTTCCATGAAAGGCTCATTCAATTCCTAATCTCTGCCACTTTGCCTGGCTTAAGACGTGAAGCAGTATACAAATTAAACAGCACGCTGATGCATCTGATTAGTGTTGTATCAAATAGCAGACATCGCAATAATGCATAAGGAGCCATTTCAAACAGCAGGAACAGGTCTGATTGTCCATTGCCCTGGGACTCTCATATGCATTTGCATCGGTGCACAGTAGGTGTAAAAAGCTACCAACACTGATTTCAGAGTCTTTTGTGCCCAGCTTGTACTCGCACTGCATGAATGTGAGAACTACATGAGGTGCAGGGCAATAGAGAATCAGGCCCCATTTCTTTTTATTTGGATCAGAGAGGGAAAAATGGCACCCAAATCTCTCTTGAGAGCAACTACTATAATGGGAGAGGGGTCATTACAGCTCTTGTGGTGACAACAGCACTGCTCTCAGCTTGGATGTCACATGGAGTTCGCACTCTGCATTGATGCGCCTTACTCTCTTCATGTAGGGTACAAGTAACTGCCATTGATATCAATGGGGGGTCACTCATCCCAGAGGGCCCCGGAGTTTAAAGTGGAGAGTTCAAGCCCAAGTGCTCTCAGTGTTCTCTCTTCCAGCTGAACTGCACCATGACTTATATGAATTTAGCCTCTTTCTTGTCATAAAGGTGCATCATTCCTCCAGCAAGTGCCTTGAAACGCTTCCCGTGCCCTGCTTTCTGCCCTAACGAGGACACTGCTGCTGAGTGAATCAATTTTATTTTGTTTAACATTTTGGTTTTTAGTTAATCTCAGCTGCCCGAAAAGTTCTGCACCAACAGCTCTGGAAAGAGAAGTCCGGTATAAATCCTCCAGGGTGCACAGCCTGCTGCAACGCAATCCCTCCCACAGTGCCCCGCTGATGTTCCCCAACCCTGAGCCGCATGGATCACCGAAGGGATCAGAGGCCGTCTCCAGGCCTATTCAGCCCATGGTCTCTCTGCTAAGACTGACAATAAAGAAGGCATTTAAGGGGTAGGGTTTAAGTAATGTGGACACCTGCACATCAGAATTGGAGTCAGACCACTAGCTCATTTCACATAGGCCCCAGAAATGCAGTCTGCACTTATGACTACTGGGTGGCATGCTTCCGTGACATGTCCATCTGTGCCAGGGCAGTGTTCTGCACACTAATGTGAGAGTTGTGTACTGTCTTTGTGCTTTTAGAATTCCTGCCGCAAACAGTTTCTAAACATCAAAACAGACTCTTTTTAGTGCAGTGTTTTTTGAGTTTTTTTTTCCCCTTTAATGAAAGTGAATGTGGCTTTGTATTGCAGAAAGAAACGGTCTTTGGAGCCCCATACTACTAACTTTAATCAGACCTAAGAAGTTAGTCACTAGATGGCAGCAGAAGTAGCATAAAAATCTTTCACGACTGGATAGATTTATTTTTTATCCATAGCTCCATTGTTTCTTTAGAAATATTCGACTAGTTTCTGTCAGTAATCTCCACCCCCTCAGATTAAGTAAGCAAATGGGACTTGGTTATGAAATGATGTTTTTACTTGATACAAAAGTCACTGTCAGCATACACACTAAAAAAAGGCAAACCTCATACAACAACCCTGGAGGATGCCATTATCTTCTACATCTATTGCTTAGGCAACTAAGCTAGTGGCTTTATGGTCAAGAAACCTGGGTTCTGTTCCCAGCTCTGTCAGTGACCTTTCATGTGAATCGCATCACCATGCCATGCCTCAGTTTCCCCATCTGTAAAATTGGGGTGACAACAGTCTGTAAAGTGCTTTGAGATTTTGGGAGGAAAAGTGCTACTGTGAAGCTACATGTACATTATTAATTATTGCAACAACATATTGCCATTCCCAGGGAAGCTCTAAAACTCATCGGATCTGAACACAGCAGAAGGCCCACTAGTGACTGTGAAGCCTGCTATGCCCTGTGATGGATTTCAGCGTGTGCTGAGAGGATGGTCTGTTAGGGATTTTGAAGAGGAAGAGGTATTCCTCTGAACTAGAAAGGTTTGGGTTCAAGTAATGTCTGTTCCAAATGTGGCTGAATTAGACAAAAAATAGTATCCAATAAACTTTTATTACCGAAGAGTTTGACAAACGGGTGATTTACAAACCAGGGGGCAGATTCATTCCTGGGCTAGAACCAGCATAGGGACAGAAGGGAGGTGGTTTGTTTTTCCCTTATTTGAACTGCTGGGGTGGCCAGTGTGGAGCGTTGTGAAGATTAGAGCAGCCCTCAGGGCTCCCCAAACTTGTACCCTTGCATCAGTGACCCCAGAATCACCAGGACCCAAGTCCACCCTAGTCACACCGCCTTCCACTACTCCCCTCCCTCCTCTGGCCTAACTTCATCTCACCTCCTGTTACCTACCCACCCCCCCACCTCAGAACACCCTCTGTGCCTGGGGCTCATGTGGATTCAGCTCACAGCTGGTGGAGTGGCTCTGTAGTAGGGGAGATCCCTGATGAGAGAGGCTTTATACCTGCCCTATGGTCCATTTGCACCGATCTCACTGGTACAAAGGGGTGGCAGCAGAAGGCTGAACAGGGCCCTATTAGTCTTCTGTCGAGAGTTTAGTGTTCTCAGCATTCAAGTCGATGGGAATTGAGGGTGCTGAGCACAGCATGGGATTTAGCCCCTCTGCCCTATACATACAGTAGGAATCAGAGCAATTAGTGATGTGAGAGAGCTGCTGGGGTATATTGTCTGGCAATGCAGTTCAGAAAGACCTTCCCCAACAATGCTAGCAACAGTTTAAAAATATCAAATCAAATTAGGCTCTCAATGAATTTGTCAAATATTTTGTTTGCTGACATGTTTTCGCGGGGGCTAGTTAACCAGACATGCTGGCTGTCTGCACTGCGGTTAATGAATTGCCAGAGCAAGCTGTTGCAACAGGGAGCCTCTGTGAAGAAGACTTCAAGAGAGAACATGGGCTGATCAGTAATAAATATTGATTTGTCTGTAAGTGAAACAGCAGCATTTATGGGCATGTACTGGACACCCAAGTGGTGACCAAATTAACATGGGGTCAAATGCTTAATAGGATGCTAATAAGCTATTTATATGTGGGGCAACAAAACGGAAGCAGTTAGGAGTTTCTGCAGAGCTCCTACATTCTGACCATTGTGAGGAGGGTCAAAGCCAGGTCTATTAAATTTATAGCTGTTCGAGGCACAGGTTTAGACCTTTTTAAACAGATCCAAATGCTTTGGCCTGCCCCAGGGTTTAGCAAACAAGGCTCTTACAGAACCTCAGCCTCCAGCCGGTCTCAGAAATGCAATAAATTGTCTCTGTTTCCCGCCACTGAAATAGACTAATATTTAATTCTTTTATTCCTGGGCTCCTAGGGGTCTGCAAATACTCAACTTGTTTCCCAAAAGAGTCATGAAGAGATGCACTGTGTTTTTGCAACAAATAACTCTAATTCCACAAAAGACATTTGGCCAGATGAAACACTTCAGCACATCGCTCATGCGAAGAGCTAAAGTTACCTTCAGAATGATGACATTTTGCTAGCATTTGCTAAGCGACAGTTATATTATTGATCTAAATCTTTTATTCTTTGCTTGAATAGGGGAAAATATTTTGTCCTACAATTAAGAGAGCTTGGGGAAAACAAAAACAAAAACAAAACAAAGAGTAAAAATGATAACTGAGCCCAAATGAAAAATCATCAGTACACTAAAGCCCCAGACCTGGTAAAGCATCAAAACATGCTTCAAGTTAAGCACAGGATTCATAGATTTTAAGGCCAGAAGGGACCACTGTGACCATCTAGTCTGACCTCTGGCATAGCACAGAGCATAGAATTTCACTCAGTGATTCCTGCATCAATCCCAATAACCTGTGGTTGAACTAGAACTTACTTTTTTTAGGAAGATATCCAGCCTTGATGTAAAGATTTCAAGTGATGGTCAATCCACTACACATTCCAATTGATAATCACCCTCACTATTCAAAGTGGGAGCTCATTTCTAGTTTGAATTCACCTACTTTCAACTTCCATCCATTCAATCTTGTTATGCCTTCATCTGTTAGATTAAAGACTCCTCTAAAGATCCAAGGGCTTCTTCCTGTACTTACAGACTATGATCAATTCACCTCTTGGCCTTTTCTTCAATATGCCTTGGGTATGTCTACACTACAGCCACTGGATGCTTCCTACATTGACAGAAGGAGTTTTTAAATTCAGTCCAATATAATAAATCCACCTCTCTGAGAGGCAGTAGTTAGGCTGACACAAGAATCCTTCCATCAACTTAGCCATGTCTATACCAGGAGTTAGGTTGACCTAATTACGGTGCTCAGGGCACAACATTTTTCACAGCCTTGAGTGATGTAGCTGGTTTATCTAATTTTTCAGTGTAGACCTGGCCTAAGTAGATAGAGCGCTCACTGTACAGCATATTTTCCAATCCTTAAATCATTCTTGTGATTCTTCCTTCTCTTCATTGCTCAGGTGCTTTGCTGGACCAAATCCTAGTGGCACTCAACATACATCAGGCAAAATGAACAAAAACTATTTAAGCGCAAGCCAATAAAAAGCCCAGACTGTCATAATTAGATCAATTGAGGAAAGAGGATTTCACTAGCCTAGATGGCACATTGGTCACCAAGAAGCAACATAGGGAAATAAAATAAAACCACCTTTGCTACCCCCTGTGATCCTGCACTGAATTCATGTAAAGTGCACAGATAAACTGAACCCATAATCCTTAGCAAAGAAAAATCAAATCCCTTCTATAGATGGTGGGTAAGGAATTGGCACTATTGCCTTAGCTTAAGTAAGTTGCTTCTTTCTTGACACAGATGTGTCTCACAAGGAGAATATTTTCCTTGGCAATGAAAAAGGCCTGTGTCCACATACAACATAGGGGAGGTTGGCTTGCTAGTGTGCATGTGTGTGCGTGATTTTTTTAGTTTTATATTTTAAAAAAAGAACATCAGCAGATTCTGATGTTAAGATTCCAATGTTAAGATCTATCAGTGATGATTTTAAAGGGCAAGTCAATGTAGACATTGTCATGGCAATGCTAGTTATTTATTAACACTGTCCTATTTGTTTAAGGGACAAATTCAGCCATCATGTCTTCAGCTTGGTCTCTCATTTCACTCTGAACCTGTGTATGCTTTGCTCACTAAGCAGCCTTAGTCCACAGGTGCTGGAACTAGGGGTGCTGCTGCACCCCCTGGCTTGAAGTGGTTTCCATCAGATACAGGATTTACAATTTGGTTCAATGGCTCTCAGCACCCCCACTATACACATTGTTCCAGCACCCCTGCCTTAGTCGGACTTTTAGGGCACAACCCTTCTGAGATTTAAGCTCATGGTGGGCCCTTCCACTAATGGCAGCTATTGAAACTGAAAAGGGAATCAAGGACAGAAGAAATAAAAATAAAATGATTCATTTGATCTTCTCTCTCTCTGATGATAAATTGCTTCCACTAACAAACAAAAACAGTCATTCCTTCAATCAGAAGGGATCGAATTAATCTCTGCTGCTCTGAAGTCAATAGAGATTAATCTGGCTCAAGAAGACCTTTTGATGAACATGGAAACATGAAGTGAAATCCTAGCCCTGATTAAATCAATAGGATTTTTGCTATTGACTTCAATGGAGCCATGATTTCTCCTGTGGTCTTTTTGTTGTTGACATTTTGAGCTCTACCCTGTGCTCGAATCAGTGCCTACAAAACCTTTAATCACTGCTGCTCAGCAAAATCTTTCCAGGGTCTGTAGCTTTCTTCTGAAAATATAATTCAGAAAGAGGATGCGTGACAAAGAGAGAACATCTGTGATAGTAAGTGTAGCTGAGGCCTGGCCTGGAGTAAATAACTCCTGGAGGGAGGCCCCTTTTTTTGGAAGAGAAGATTAGGAAAGGAAATTAATCATAAGGTTGAAAACAGAATGTTTGTGCTAAAATAAAGTAAGTAAATAGGTCAGTAGGCTAAGAAGACAGAATGTCCGAGACAACTAGATAAGAGGGGAAACACACAGGGACTGTTTACTATGAACTAGATAACAAGGGAAGTTAAGAATAGAGAGAGGAGGTAAAGAGGAAGTCGAATGGTGGTCAGCATGTGGACAGCGCATGCTGCACAGAGATTGGATCCTGCAAAGTAACCAAGCCGATCCAAAAATGTGCGCTGCAATGTATAGTAAATGCAATGAGATGTGTAATGTATAGAAAGGGAGGAAGTTTCTGTGTAACTTTGGAGCTGTGATGTACCCTGTATCTGAGTCTGATCAGCTCAGCATAGCACTGCTGTGTGTCCAGTAAAGATACCCGAGTGACAAAGGCAGGAGTCGAACTGAGTTCTTAGGAAGCCGAGTGGAAAGAAGTCTCTGAGGGAATCTCAACAGTAGTGCTAATAGCTCCCTGCCCAGGCATAACCCTTTCTCTCTTGTCACTTGTATGGAGGAAACTGACCCCAGAGAGTATTTGTTGGAGGTTTCTTTTCCCCCAAATGTAATGTCATGGGTCAGGCACAAAGGAGATGGTAAAAGGATTACCAGGATTTATCTCGGGCAGATATTAATGCCCTTTTATGTTGTTCCAAGGAAGGAAGAGGAAGAACCAGACCAAAAGCATTTGAAGACAATCCTAGCTGAAATCCTATTAAAATCACATCTGGTATCTGAAGAGGTATTTAGGTATTAATAAAGTGGGTGTTGTGGTTTCTTTACATGAATCTTCTGGGCCATGTCTTTACCCAGGCCCCAATCCTGTGAGGTGCTGAGCACTCTCAACTCTCACTGACTTCAATAAGAAGAATGGAGGGTACTCAGCACCTCCCAGGATCGTGCCCTAGTTCCCTAAAAAGGCAAAGCTACCATCAACATTGCTGGGAGTTTTGCCTGCGTGAGGATAGGTTGAGCCTGCTCCCACTGAAATGGGTAGAAAAAACTCCCTGATTTCATGGCTTGGAGGAGGGGTACAATTGGACCCAAAAGATTTGAGTGAGATTATGGGGGCAAGATTGTGCCTGACTCTTACGTAGGTGCATTGTGGGGGAGGAAGTGCACAAGAAGGCTTCCTCTCCCCTCCCCACTCATCATCCAACCTGCATAAGGGTCAGACACAGCTGCTGCCCCTGAGCCTGAAGAAGGGAAGAAGGAAGCCTGCTCCCTCCATCCACCAAGGGGTGCACAGTGCTCCAGAAGGAGATGGAGAGAGATTGGAGGCTGATCAGCCTGCAGAGAAGGACCAGTGTGGAAGAGATGGGGAAATGATTTCCACACTCTGATGGGGTGCAGTAATAGATCCCTGCCAGGGAAATCAGAGAAGAAATCTACTTCCTTGAAGCAGAATTTCTCCCTTTACTTCCCCACGGGTTACATTGCTTCACACCAAGTGTAGTGCTGGACTGTGCCTCATTGGCCTTAGTAAGGGCTGCAGGATTTGGTTCGTTGTTATTAACCAAGATTTAGGGTGTTTTGGGGGAGGCAATGAGGGGTATTGGAGTTAGCCATGACAATCAACACTTCATTCGTTATTTTGTTACTTGGTCCTTTATCAGCAACTTTTATGCATTAAACACAATTGAGAATAGGATCACACTTTGCATGAAGGGTCCATTTAACAAAGAGTTAATAAATGACCAGCAGAACTGGTAAGTCAATTGTTATAGAGTCCAATAGGTCAACTGGTAGCTTATAACCATCTGGCATACCTTCTACTGATGGATTTATAAACCATCCATAGATCAAACTACTCATATGTGTAAGATGCTGATAATCATAACACCTCTTATGGTAATTAACTCTTTATAAACTATTTCTAAGTGGACCTTTACTATGAAGGGTGACCAAGAAGAGCTCCGCTGTGGATTCAAACAAACAATCTGCATTATCCTATTTCAATGTTAACAAACTGCCTGTCTTCACCTGACTGTTCCCCTGTAAGGGTGATCAAGACACGGCAGCTTTGGAAAGTGATGCAAGTTCTTCATCAAGGGAGCATAAAGGGCAGGCAGTCGCAAATGTCTCTAGGCCACTGTTCTAAAGCCCTCCTTAGGAAGGTGAAAGACCATCTTTCTCTAGATGGCATTCATTACCAAAAATGCACATTAAGGGCTCGATTCAATCAGGTGCTGAGCATGCTGGCATTGCTCCAGCAAAGCAGTTTAAAATGAATCATGTGCTTAACACATGATTAGTCCCATAGATTTCATTAGAATTACTCATGTGCTTAAAGTTAGTTATATGCTTAAGTAGCTTGCTGAATCTGGGCTTTACGTAACTTGTTGGAGGTTGACAAGACTAAAGCCATTGTGCATGTCAAGCAAAGACCATCATTAAAAAAAAAAAGTTTGAATCTAGATAATGTTTATCGGAATAGTCTAATATCCCTTTAAATACTTTTTGAGCTATCCAATGGTGCTTGCTGTGTTCTAGAAGCCACTGGAAATCAGTCACAGACCGGGCAGGCTCCAGCTTTTTTGCCCCAAGCGCTGATTGAGCTGCTGCTGAAGTGCTACCAAAAAGGAAGAGAGGGAGTGAAAGACACGGACGTGCCGCCTCAGTAACGGATGGAGTGCCGCCCCTTTCTATTGGCCGCCCCAGGCACCTGCTTCCTTCACTGGTGCCTGGAGCCGGCCCTGGTCACAGCGGCAGTGTGCCTGTAGCTAGGCTTGGCATGTTTGCGTATCTTTAGCAAACGCAGTCATTTGGAACTCACCTGTGCCCGGGTGGTCTCTTTGTATTGTTTGTGTGTGTGTGTGTAAGGAGCAAAAGATATCACTAGATGAATTTGGTAGATTGCTGAAAGCTGTGTATGAAAATATAGCCTATTTGAACAGCAAGGGCACTGTTCATTTGCAGAAAATGACCATGCCTACAACTTTTTGGAATGGGAGACAGGACTATAAAGGGTGGAAGGGGAAACACAGGTACAGAGGTCAACCAGAAAATTGCTTTACTGAAGGGAACAGAAGTAGTTCAAAAAGGCTGAGTGGTTTAGGCAGATAGCACAATTTTATAGTCAATATTAGCACAATCAATATTTTCTTACCAGCATCTTTCTTCTTTTTACGTGAAAGCTCATGAACAGTCACTCCCATTTCGTTTCTTAAAGTCTTGATGATATCCGTGAGAAGAGGAGTATTCCTCCTATCCAGGTTTATGAAGAATTCATACTCATCTTTGTTGACTCGGGAAGGTCTGGACTCAATATGGGTCAGGTTTATACTTTTTTCCTATGGGAAAGGGATAATAGGTTAAATTTTGATACTATATGCTGTAAGTGGAATCACAGCATGCTGAAATTCACCTGTTGGTGAATGGTCCATACAAGACCCTCTACACCACAATAATCTCCACCAGATGGAGCAGTTGTATAGGGGTGAATTTCACCCCATACAACTGAAATTTCTCCCCCTCCCCACCTACCCACCCACTGTACAGAGTCAATGCGGGGCCTGCGCACAACTAATTCCCTCAAAGTAGGGCTTAAGTTGGTGCATAGGCTTTGTAAAAAAGCTGCACACAGGCTCTGAATATGCCTATGTGGAGAAGAGCATTTACTCAGAATCAACACAGGATTCAAGAATTCCTCCCATGAAGAATAAAGAAGTGAGAATAAACAAATACATTTAAGTTATTTGCGATGACAATGAAATGAGGTTTGGAAAAGCCAGAAGCGGGGTAGCTTGTGATCCATATCTCAAGGGGCGGAAAATGAAAAGCCATTATATGCCCTCGTTCTGTGCATGCAGTTTCCTTGCCTCAGACCCTACTGCAAGCTTACTGCTGTGACTGTAGGGATAAGCAATGGACAATTCCTTTAAACCTGCCTACCTACTCTCTTTGCTCCTGCATTGCAGCCAGCCAGGGGAGCAGCTCAAGTGTCAGCTGCTGCAAACTCAAGCATCTCTGTTCCTGCAACACTCAGCTCAGCCCTGGAAGCACATGTCGCATGGCTCCAAAGTGCCACTGCAAGCCACCCAGAACAGCATGTAGCATTCAGGTGAATGGGGAAACTGGAAGGGGTAACAAAACTCAAGACAGAACAGGAAAGAGTAAAAGAATAGGAAGCCACTCCCACCAAAAGATACATAAATTAACAAAAAAAAAAGAAATCACAGAAGAAAAAACAGATGAGAAGGAAAAGAGAAAATGGAAACAGAATAGAACAAGAGAGAAAAAATAATGAAAACAAAGGAGAAGAGACAGCAACTGTCCTAGGAAACAGCACAGGAAAGGGCCCCTATTTGCCAGTCCGACACTAGAGGAGCACCAACAACAAAATGCATATCGGGAACCACTGACTTAACAAGCTAAATAGATACAATATCTGATTAATAACATTCAAGATACACATTCCAAAGTGTTTTTGAAACAATTCACAGTGTCTCCGTTCAGTGAGCAGGACTGTTGTCTCTCTCTGAGAGGTGGCTGAATCTTAGGTAGAGCTGGTCAGAAAATGTTCTCTCCCATGGAAAAAGTTTGAAGACATTTTTTGTTTTGGACCACATTTTTCTCCACAACTCTTCTGGTTTTCATCAAAACCCCAGAATGTGCACGGTTTGATTTCTTGAGGAAAACCAGAAAAATGTAGTCAAAAGCAGGGTCTCTCCCAATGAAATTTTGAATTAAAAAAAAAAAAAAAAAAAGAAGCACCATGTTTACTTGAGAAAACCTTTGAACAAAAAAATGTCAACCAGCTCGAAATGTAGGATCTAGGCCTGCATTTCTTCTTCAGGCATACTCCCACTGCAGCCGTTGTTGCTATAGGATGAGGCCCATAATGAAATTCTGCCTCCCAAAAGGAAGCTGAGACCCATGAAGACAGAGAAAATTCAGGTTTGGGCCTGTCTGCTCCTTGGTTTTGCTCCCCTTTGTGCTGCATAGTGCAGTGAGGCAGCTGGCCATCAGCAACACAGAAATGACCCCATTCACCTTGCTACAAAAGGCAGTTCAGAATCTGGTAGGAAAGGAAGAAGTGTGCATGGTGCTCTTCTGTGTCTGTGTCTGCAAGCCACTGATTACCTTAAGTTGTTTTGCTAAATACCAGTACAGTAAGTTGAAAAGTTCAAAAGCACATTCACCAACGTCTGCTCCTGAAAGATACTCCCCAGTTGTGCTGTCTGAATGCAGAGAATGTGTTTAACTGTGCTAAGCCCTAGGGACAATTTGTTTTAGAGCCATAAAGTTCTGTGGAGCACACAGACCTTACTTTGTATTTGCTTGTTAGCTAGATGGTAAGAGATCATTACAGTGCTCAAGACTTAGAAGTTAAAATTACTTGAAACTAGATTTTTTTTTTTTTGACAGAGACCAGAGACAGCGGGCTGTAGTTTGCTGTCAGCTGGGCCATTGTAAATCCACAATAAATCCAATGAGGTCAATGCAACTACTGAGGATTTACACTAGGGGCAGAATCTGGACCATTAGGCCTTATTCTTCACTGCCTGGAACCTTGTGTAGTCACAGACAACTGTGCAAAATGGCGGTAAAATGCCACCAAACCAGAATGCTCTATTCACACTGACAGTAACATTTTACGTTCACTGTGCACAGATGTAAATGATTGCACAAGGACTTGTTGTTCTGAGGTTGTACAGCACCTAGCACAATAGGCCCATGTTGGGGGACGGGGGAGAAGGTCCTAGATACTACTGTAATAAATAACAAAACAAAGAACAAGGGAGTGGAGAATGAAGCCCACAGACTGTACTGATTGGCAGGGGGGAGGGACAGAGGGATATTGTAATAATTGGGACTACAAATTTACCCTCATTGTAGGCTTAACTGTAAAAAGTATGTAAAAGTTCATAAAATGTCACAATAGCCTATAGTAATAAATGTTGATGGGAACAGGTGCAAAAGGTAGAAGAAAAACTGATTTAGTCTAAAAAAAACTCCTGCTAAAACTCAAGGACTAAGTTAAAATCATGCTTGGTAAAAATAGAAGATGTGGAACTGGAAATTAATCAATCAAAATTGGCGTCAGATATTAGGCCTAATTAGTGGACAAAATAATGAAGGGATGGGCTATTCCCTCCATTACCTTGTAGGTCCTTAAAGAAAGACTTTGGAGGGAAAAGAGAAGAACAGATGTATGCTACAAGTAAGCTTCATGATCATGGCTGCCTCTCCCATTGTTTCTGGGACTCAGGATCTTCATCATCCTGATGCTGAGAGATGTCCTGAGCAAACCGGGCCAGAGAGAGAGACCCAGATGACACCACCACCTGTACCAACTCCAGCTGAATCCCAAACACCACCTGAGATGAAATGGGATCAGACTTTAACAACGGCAGCAGCTTCAGCTCATGTCAACTAACTTATTCTCTTCCCTCACCCCCCACAAGAGGACAGTCATTACCATCTTTGATACCATTTAAGAGACTGTCGAACATGGGGGGGGGGGTCCTTCTAAAAATGGAAAGGGAACAAGGGATGCTGTTAAAATAAAAGCCTTACATTTCAAATGCTTTAACTGTTCTCCCTTTCTTTTCTGTATAAAAGGTTAAAAAGGATGTTTAATGGTGGGTTTGCCATGGTGCTAAGCAGGCTGAGGTCTCTGCATACCAAACCCTAAACAATGTTAAACAAAGTTCAATGTTAAACAGTGACTGGGTTGCATTAACACCTTTGGCCTGTATGTTTCATCTTCTAAATGAATACAACGGGGGCCACACAGCAATGATTTGTCCAGGAGACTTTGGAGAACAAACAATGGAGCAGGCAGCCAGCATGCGTGCCACTCTTGTGACAGGTCAGCTCTGCTATGCTTGCTTCACTCCCTTTGGAAAGTCTTGGGCCTGGGGTGCAGGGTCTTGAAATGCAAAGGGACCTGGTGCCAACATGCAGGACTAGGGTGGGCGGGCTGTTTTGTACCTTCTCACTATTTTATCTACCCACACTAGTCCCGGTGCAAGCTGGCCTGATGTAAAAAGCAAAAGGAGCTATTTTGCTTATTATAGTCACCTGTCCTCTCAAGTTCTACTCATCCAGCTGCACCACGAATGCACAAATACAGAGGAAATACCTATTGATTTGCTATTGTGTTGTACAGCAGGTTGTTTCTAGTTCACCGGGGAGGCAGAATAGACTCCTGCTGGTTTCTTTTGGTCAGACTAAAAGAGGATGTATACAAGTCAAATGTCCACCTCCTTTATACCAATGTAATTCTGGAATAACTCCACTGAAGTCAGAGAAGCTATTCTGAATTCGCATCTGTATAAGTGAGACCAGGTTCTCTCCCCCTTCTCCACTGATCCAGGAGTAGAGGCCAGAAATTGGTCATATTTGGCCATCTGATAATTCTTCAGTCCTTGGCTTGTGGAAATCTGGCACAGCCAGCTCCTACTCCACTCCCCATCTGTTCCTGACATACGGTCTGTTCAGAGGTGATGGAAGGGGGAACAGTAATTACGCTTACCTGGCAGAGTTTAAATCAGGCTCTACAAGGCCCTAAACTGTACAGGGCCAGCCATGAACCAACCTCAGAAACACAGAGGGGCAGCCAGCTGTCTGGTAGCCCTCTCTCCACCAATCTGCTCCATGCCCAGCAGATACTAGGCATAGCAGAGACTCTGGGGCAGAATGCGAATGCGGTCCAAACGATCTGAAATTCTGCTGCATTAAAGGCTCATGGTGCTTAAATTACTCAGGGTCAAAATTCACCCTGAATTACAAGCTGAAGGCAGAAAGCAATGCCTTTATTTCAAACCATCATCGGGGGGGCGGGAATTGAATGTGTAGCTTTTGAACTGTATATATCCCCATCATGAATTATGTAACTTTACCTATCCTTAGCAATATATATATCTCATCACACACACACACGATTTTATTTTCATTTCTATTAAAACCAGTGCTCTTAACTACAAAAACATCCTTTACTGATTACATTGTAAACAGAACTGATCTGTATTTCTTATGTGCATTTCTATTACAAGCAGTAGTTTGCGCAGAGGAACACAATACAGAAAAACTGTCCTTATATGACAGTTTCTTCCATAGTTGTTGTAACCATGTTGGCCCCAGGTTTGAGTAAGAAGAGTTGGGGGAGGTAATATCTTTTATTGGACCAACTTCCGTTGGCGAAAGAGACAAGCTTCCTTCAGTTGAAGAAGAGCTCTGTGGAGGGCATTCTTCACTTCCTGTCCTAAAATCTTGTATAATGCAAAACAATAGACTCTAGGATGTAGTGTTATATGCTCTCAAACAATTTTTGCCTTTCATTCAA